TACATAAAGGTGAATTCACTATGCACCTTTACTCGGTTTCATATTGCTATGACGTCAGGTTGAATTTCTATAAGTGCCCTATTGATATATTGTAGGGGACCTATAATTTAACGCACTTATTCTTCCATTATCATAAAATGGTGTACGATGGAAATCAAATCAAAGAAAAGAACAAGTTCTTCAAGAAAATTCTATTAATTCTTAGTGAATAAAAAAGATTTTGTTCTTAAAAGAAATATATCCTATCGAAGAATTGTTTAAAAAAAAGGAAATTATTGAATGAAACTATGAATTTCATTTCCGAGCAATTCTACTTTGAAAGTCTTCAACTTAATGTAAAATCTTATACAATACATTCTACTATTATTTACATTACAATCATTACCTACTGTTTACTACAATTCTGATAATGGAAATGAATTTTATTTTTTATGAATATATCTATAATAAGTTTAACACTCTTTGCCTAACTGATGATATTCGAGTATGTATGATATTTTATACCAGCTATACTTTATTATAATTGCTTTTATAAAAATCTATCTTTTCAATTACGTATCTTGAAATTAAATATGAAAAGGAAAAATGTTTGAGTGCTGATTTTAAAATTGTATAGTATCAAGTTGAATATTTATTATTTGCGAGTGAATAACCTTGTAGATTCAAGAAGTTTGTTTAATTTCCACATAGATACACTCAATCGACTTTAATTTCTCATTTAGTGAACAATTTTTAGAAGAACTGACTCAATTAACAACTGAAATGAGTGTGATAACGCTTCAATAAGTATAATAATTATGTACAATTTTTCAAATTTATTTTTTATAATATTTTTTTTCTCTATACAATTGCCTGAATATATAATTTTCATAATATGTTTTTTTTCGTCTATTCCAAGTTTAATTCTCCTCGCATTTGTGCAGATGTAGGTAAAACAGATAATGTTGCTGTTGCATCAAAAGGTGCACCATGGATATGTCCATTCTTCCATCCGCCTTTTTTTGAACCACTCATCGATTCTTGTAATTGATCAAGATGATAATCAAAACCATAGTCAGCTTCTATTCTTGGTAAGGGTATATGATTGAAACGAAAATCCCAAACACTAGCATATTGAAAACGATATGATCCAACAGCAAACATTATTCCAATAATTGAACCAGCTAAAATATCATACCAATGATGATAATGATCGATTGTTAATGAAGAAGCAATAAGAACAGCACCGAGTAATGGAGCATAAAATAAAACAAATTTCCAATATTGTGGACGGTAATTAGCGAAAACTTTTAATTTACCATTAAGATATAATGAACAATAAACAAGACTAGCAAATGCTGCTGTTGCATGGCCTGATGGCATTGATTGTAATGCAAAATTAATTTCTTTCTCATCTCCTGTACATATGGATCGATCAAACATTAAACCATCAAATCCTTTTCCTGTACCAACACTTGCTGGATTAATGCTTGGTTTACAAACAGAGAAAAAATGTGGTCGTAAACCTCCAATAAGCCATTTAATAAGTACTTGAAACACAGCACCAGATATGATTGAGAATAATAAACCCATTGTTGCTGTATTCACATCATTAAAACTTCGTACTCGTATTTGCATTAACATAATAAATACAAATGGAATAATAAATGCTAATAGACCAGATAGCCATGTTGGTATAATGTTTATACCAAATGAATAGCCGAATTCTGGATTAACTATTTCACCATCACGAAAATAAACAGGAAAAACACGATTTGGTATAGGTCGGAGGCCATTAACAACAATACCAATAATTCCCAATATAACCATTACAAGATAATCCATCCAAAAAGTACGAATATATATTCGAAGTGTCATTACTTCTCTTTTTGGCCTAGGTTCATTGTTCTGAATATCATTAATAACTGGATGTTGCATGCCAACAAAACTATTGTTAATTTCGTTCATCGTTTTCATTTTATTGTGTACAAATGTGTATTAAAGAAATATATGTCGCTGTTCACGGTTTTATATAAAAAAATCCTCCAATAGAAGAGGAAGAAGAAAATTTATAAGGTCTGTTGCCAACTCGAAGAATAAAAAAAACTCGTTTATTCTCCTCTTCTTCTTCTTCTTCTTTTGTCAGTGTGATGTTACCAAAGGCTATGGAGTAGAATGTAGAGGATGACAAGAAATTTTCTCTTCTATTTCATTCTTCATAATAATATACTGACTAAAACTACATATAAGTTAATTCTCTATAATCATGAACGCTTGATAAGTTATTTTAAAGAGAGAAAATATATACTATGAATAATTTTATATATTGTATAGAAACTTTAAAGATAAATAAAAAAAAATGTATACTTTCAATAAGAGATAATATTATGTTTTATTCAATTTACTGAACAAATATCTTTCAGACATCAAAATTTACAACATTATTTTATCACAAATTAAACTACACTCTCAGTTGTGCAGATGTAGGTAAAACAGATAATGTTGCTGTTGCATCAAAAGGTGCTCCATGAATACGTCCATTCTTCCATCCACCTTTTCTTGAACCACTCATTGATTCTTGTAAGTGATCAAGATGATAATCAAAACCATAGTCAGGTTCTACTCTTGGTAAAGGTATATGATTAAAACGAAAATCCCAAACACTAGCATATTGAAAACGGTATGCTCCAACTGCAAACATTGTTCCAATAACTGAACCAGCTAAAATATCATACCAATGATGATAATGATCGATTGTTAATGAAGAAGCAATAAGAACAGCACCAAGTAATGGAGCATAAAATAAAACAAATTTCCAATATTGTGGACGGTAATTAGCAAAAATTTTTAATTTACCATTAAGATATAATGAACAGTATACTAGACCAGCGAAAGCTGCTGTTGAATGACCGGATGGCATTGATTCTAATGCATCATTAATATCTTTTTCATCTCCTGTACATATGGATCGATCAAACATTATACCATCATAACCAGTTCCTGTACCAACACTTGATGCACTGATATTCGGTTTACAAACGGAATAAAAATGTGGTCGTAAACCTCCAATAAGCCATTTAATAAATACTTGAAAAACAGCAGCCGATATTAATGAAAATAATAAACCCATTGTTGCTGTATTCACATCATTAAAACTTCGTACTCGTATTTGCATTAACATAATAAATATAAATGGAACAATAAATGCTAAAAGAGCAGCTAACCATATTGGTACAATATCACTACCAAATGGATGAGCAAATTCTGGATAAACAATTTCACCATCACTAAAATAAACAGGAAAAACACGATTTGGTGCAGGACGAAGAAAATAAATTCCAAGGCCAAGAGCGCCTAACACAGCCATTGCAAGATAATCCATCCAAAAAGTACGAATATAGATTCGAGGTGTCATTACTTCTTGTCTGTGTTCAATTGGATTATTTTGATGATCATTACTATCTGGTGGTCGCATGACAATCACAGCAGCATCAGTAGTTTTATTCATCTTTTTTTGATGTCTGAAGATCAGTAAATGAGTAGAATAGAAACGTGAGTCGTTATTAACAACACGATACAGAAAGATGAAGAAAAAAAAACTACCGTAAGTTTTGCTTTCAGGTAAGAAAGTGAAGAAAAAATTTATTTCTTCTGTCCTGTTTTGTCAACACCTAGTTACTAAAGGTTATATGGTAGAATCTAAAACGTGAAAATAAATCTCTTTCTTTTACTCTTATGTTTAAAACAATATTACCGTCTATTATTAAATTTCTTTATATATAACAGACATAAAATATTATTAAATGACTAATTAACTCTAAGTTTTTCTTTTTTGATGAAAAGTAACTAGGAAATTTAAATCAATAATTTATAACTCTCTACAATATAAGTAGTACTCGGAAACTTTTGATTGTTATCTTATTCTGTTCATACCTTTGCATAAACTAAAATACGTAATAAACTACTTATGTGTAACATTTCAATAAGCATGAAAATTCAGGTGTGACAAATGATTCAACAGATCTCAATATGTATAAAAACAAGACAATTGTCTGTTATTGCAAACAAATTTTTCATAACATTTCATTATATTGTATATAGTTCGCTATTGTTTATTAAAATAGAACAATGTCAAGTGTTTCCTACAGCACTCGTCTAGCCGATTTTTTTCGTAGTTACATTCCATTACAAAGAAAATCAAATTCAATTCGTACAGGTTATGCTGCTGCTTATCCACAAGTAAAACGATATCATCGTCAACAATCAAATCTATTTTCATGTATTCCATTATTTTACAAATCAAAGAAAAATTCTTCAATTAAAGGATGTCCAAGTTTTGCTCGATTCGGTACATATCAAGAAGGTGATATTGAAGATGATTGTTGATAGTATTTCTTTTTTTTAAACGTCAAATTTTATGTCAATATAAATGAAACTTTGACCTTTTCTTTCATTGTGCAACTTAATACCTATCAAATGCTATATTTATCGAATAAGCGTATTAAATTTCATATAAAAAAAATTTTGTTTATTTTATCATTCTGGATTAGTTTGATATAAATAGAATTAATAATCAGATCTAATCTAATTCTTATAATATAAATAAACGAATGGTTTTTTTTTCTCATAAGTTATACCAATTGTAACCTGTATCATATCTAATAATCATAAAATTTTCGTTTGTGTGCATCTCTATCTTGATCGATGATTATAATATTAATTGCTTTTATATATTTGCTCTATACATTAACGCTTGATTAAATTAGTGAGAGTTTTTTGTTATAGTAATACAGTATATAACTATATATTATATAATAATGAGAATAAAATTCGTATTATGATTATCAAATCATTTTACCTATTCGTATGATATAATTTACTTGACCTTGATGTTAAGAAATATAATTTACATCGACAGATTGTTAGCTTTAATTTCCGAGAAAAGAAAGTAAATTCACTATCATCTTATGTATAATCATACTAATTACTAATGACAAGATAGAGACAGTCTTATTATCAAGAATAATTTTTTTATTCCTTTATCTTTTTTAACTATAAATTTATTTTGAATCTCTAGATGACAAAATTATTCACAATATCATTTCTAGATTTCTTTTCAATTTTTGTAATTTTTTTGTAGTCCATGTGCATTAAGAAAAACGAAGAATAATAGTCGTGCTCCAAAAAAAAGAAAAGAACAAATAAACTGTACATACAAGCTCATCTGAGAATCAAATAACACTTGAATAAGTGAACGAAATGCATTGTAAAAAAGAAAACGGAAAGCGAATTTGATAATTATTCACAACATGTATAATGAGAAACAAACGAAAGACGTAAGGCTTAAAAAAGAATTGATAGATTTAAGATGAAATATAGATGTTGAATTGAACGATCATAATCTCGTTATTGTTACTTCAGATTCATCGGATCTCATATCATCCGAAATATTGATATTTGGTACTAAGGCTTGTTGATAATGAACAATCATAGAAGATTTTTCCTGACGATTATTTAATTCATGAGTTGAATTACCTGATTCAGATCTTGCTCGATTTATTTGATCTAATAAAAAGAAAATAATATATTCGAAATATTTTTGTAAATAGAATTACCATTTTTTCTTAATAATATAGGTGTTAAAAAAGCTTTTAATGTTCCTTCGTGATTACTATTATTATTATTATGATGTAAACCTAACAAACGTGGTTTCCAACGATGTTTTTGTCTACTTGCTGTTGTTGTTATAATCGGAACATGAAGTTTTTTGTGTTTTTCATCATCGGATGGTATATAACCCAGAGAATAATAAGATTTAAATAAATGAAGACTTGTATCAAAAAATCGAGAATCATTTGTAAAAATTGCTTGAAAATGTTCACGATTTTCATAAAGACCATTCGATGAATTAGCAACAAGGTCAGTTGGTGATATGGTCGTCATTGTTGCTGTTGATGTTGAAGAATTTATACTAACTGAACGTGATATAGACATTAGTTTTCGATTTTAATAATGAATATTCATATATTTTCTTTTGAATAATGTTCTCTCATAATATATACGGATCAAATCATTTCGTTACTTATTGACGAACTAATATTGGAATCCGTATTTTATTTGAAATTGAAATATGAGATTTATTTGTACACCTATTACCTGACAGGTATCCTAGATGGCGCTAACAGACAATTGAAGTATTGATGATAAATCGATCAAGAATTCATGCTATACGACAAAAAAAACTTATTCGAATATACGTATCAATAAGCTATTGAGTGGAATAAGACTCTTTTCTTCTTCAGTATAACTTGAAAATTGACTTCTATTATTAATTGTTACATAGACTTAGATAGAGAAAAATATCGCATTGAGTTTTTTATATCCAGAATGTAGCGAATTAGTGTAATCTTGATCTTTAATTTTATGAGACAATGATATAATACAAATCATAATTTGTTCATGATCTCGGTTTACATTTGAATCGTTAGAATAGAAATACTTACATTATTGATAAAGTCTAAACAAAATTCTGTTTATTTATAATTAATGAAATTGAATAATATTACATAAGAGACAAGAATCACTCATGAAACAATCATTATGCAATTGATACTGTTTATATATATATGTGATATAAAATCATGTTCTTCATTTTTAGATTGGTTACTGTTTAATTTATATTTTGATTCAAAATAAAATTCAAATTTCTTACGGCTTATATCTGATTATGTCATTGCATTTAACGATAATATATTTCAATACTGATGATCATTATGTTTTCTCTCATCCGAAATAAATCTATCACAAGTTCTTTTTTAATCAATATGAATTCAAGTGTGTTTATTTGTCTTTGATCATTAACTACGACTTTTTTTTTATAAAATATTTCAATAAAAATTGAATTTTTTTTTCTTTAGGACCTATTTTTTAATCATAAACTTGACTCATTCGTCTCGATAAAGTATATTCAGTGATTAATGTTTGTTGTTACTATAGGACTTCGTCTTATATTTTTTTCTTGAAGACCTAAGCATCATGTATATTATAAATATATATATAATATTTCATCTATAGTAGGTTATTGATTGAGTATGTACTCATTTTTTTCATGAAATATATTGTACAAAAACGATCATACATATCATCATTGACATAAATTTATCCCCCAATTTACTTTCATCAAATTAGGTGGGTGTATATTCTTTGTCTTGTGTATATACTATATACTTGAATGATCTCATTCTTCTCTTTCTATACGTATGTCTATTCATCAATCGATAATTATTTTCGAAAGTACATTACTTGTCACTTCTGCTAAGATGATCACATATAATAATGTATATACTAGACTAACTAACTACTTTGATCGATATGTCATCTAATTTTTTTACTTTTACACATGTATATCAAGAATTATTATTCTATATTGACTGTAAGAAAGTATGTATCAAAAGTAAATCGTTTGTATTACGAACAAATATTAGTAGACATGAATTTATTTTTTATTGCATTAATCAAAAAGAAAACTTTTTCTTTTTAGTGACAAGCTTTTAGTATTGAGACAAATGAAGCATATAAAGAGTAGACGATAGTCAATATATGACGTATACCAGATGAAATTGACTTAAGGCGATCAGAGAAATGCAATGACAATCTGTTTTATTTTGCATAAAAATACAAATTGAGATTTATTCAAAGGTCATTAAAAAAAAAGATTCTTTTTTTTTTTCTTTTTCATTGATCTTAGATTATGCATTTTGATGTTCATTTCAATTGCATTTGGGTGTGATGCAATCATCTTTCATTTGATAAATACACACTAGGTAGTAAGTCATTAGACTTCCTGAGGTTACAATTGTTGTTTCTCTTGTTTTCATTTTCAAGCATATGCTATAGAATAATTCACTTAATGATTATGTATTTCATGATACAGTTTAATTGCATTTAGATGATGTAATCATGTTTCTCTTCATAAATATATATAACAAATAGTAAGTCAATATACTTCATAAAGTTGAAAATTTTTTTTTTGTTTAAATGAATTGTTCAATAATTGAATTTCGACATCGAAATGAGTATAAAGAATAATTTATCTTCGTTCTGACATTTATCTGTTAATATTAAAAAATATATTCTAAAATAATTATAATCTTCTTCAGTAGCATAAGCAGGGGGGCGTGGGGCGCGTACCCCCGCCCCCCCCCCCCTGTTTCCGAAAACTAATAGGAAAAAAGGGGTTTTGCGCCCCACCTGATTCTAGAAAGTTCACTTTTTTTGTCCACTGAAATAGAAAAACTAGGGTTACGCCCCCCCCCCCTGGTCTGACACCTGACTTACGCCCCTGATCTTCTTATTCATATTTATACAATTAAAGAATTAATATCTGGTCTATATTTTCTTTCAGCTGATCAAAATGTTTTGGTATTTTTATATTATATTTAATTTTCTTCTTCTTAATGCTAATACACTAGGTAAATGAGAATATTTCATTGATATATATATATTATTAAATATGAATTTTCTTAAGTATGTAATGGTCCATTGGGTATGACTAATGGTGAAATACGTGATTGGCAAATAACAGCATCATCATCTCTTTTGGATTATGATTGTCATGAAAAGAATGCTCGATTATATCAATCATTGAATCGTGCTTGGTGTGCAAGACATAAATCTGATTCTGAATGGTTACAAATTGATTTAGGTATTACTGCTAAAGTTAGTAGAAAAATTTCTTCAAGATTTTTATTTTAAAATTGTATTATTATTATAGATATCAGGTGTATTAACTCAAGGTCGAGCTAATATAGATGAATATGTAACGTCATATATGATATCATATAGTCCCGATGCATTTCGATGGCAATATCTTGTTGATCAATATGGAAATCAAAAAGTATACATTAAAATTATCTTTCTTATATTAATTCTATGTTTATTTAGATATTTTCTGGCAATAAAGATTCATATTCTGTTCGTAATAATTATTTTGATGAAGTTATTATAACACGTTTTATTAAATTTCATCCTATTCAATGGCATTCACACCCATCATTACGCGTGGAAATTATTGGTTGTCAAGGTTAAGAGAGAAAAAAAATTCTTTTCGTTTTCTTGTTTATATTTATATATCAATAATATAGAATGTAAACAATATTTGGGTTTACCACCTTATGGAAAAATAACTGCATCAACAACATGGCCATCTCGTCGACGCGCTACATGTCAACCACAAGATGGTTATTTAATGAGTAATAAAGGATGGTGTTCAAAACGAAAATATAGTGAATTAAAAACAAAAATTTCATATATTTGTTTTATATAAACAATACGTATATTATTTAGGACATGATCAATGGCTTGAATTTGATTTGGGACATCCATCCACTGTAACATCATTGATAACAAAAGGTCGACGTGATACAAGTCAAGAACAATGGGTTACAAAATATCGAGTTTCGTTTTCTAATGATTCTCGTCTATGGGTTTATTATAAAGATAAATTACAAAGTGAACCAAAGGTTTGCTGATAACTACTTGAATATTGGCTGAGAAATAATTGTTCTGATTTATATATATTATAGGAATTTGCTGGAAATAATGATCGTGATAGTGAACGTATTCATTTTTTAAATGAACCATTTATTGCACGATATATTCGTATGCATCCTACTCAATGGCATAATCATGTTAGTATGCGTGCAGCAATTCTTGGTTGTCCACATCAAGGTAATAATTCTATTTAAAAAATACAAAATATATATACATAATAAGATGATTTTTAGGTGCTTGTCTTCCAGGTTATTTTCGTGTAAATAATGAAACACAATGCAGTATGTAGAATAAAAATGAATGAATTTAATTGTAGTCGTTATTTCTAGTTGAAAATATGGCATATGGAAAAAGAACATGGACAAATGATCGAAATCATCGTCTTCAAAAAAATATAAATGATAGAGTGAAATATCGTAGTACAAGAGAAACTAATGGTGATTCATCATTAGCTGTTGATGGTATTGAAGAACCATTGGAATGGTCAAAATGTGCTACAATTGATAATTATTTTGTTGATAAACCTCTTTGGATGGTCGATTTAGGTCGAGGAAAAAATGTTGCTGGTGTTATGTTAAGAACATGGCATGAAAGTAAAAATATCAATAAAATAAAAAAATCATATAAAAGAATATTTTTATTTTATATTCATAGTATCTAATTCATCTTCATCAATATATCGAGATTATATATTAAATTTAAATCAATACAATGTTTATGTTGATCATTATCCACGTCGAAATCACTTTAAAAATGCTAATTTATGTTCTTATATAACACGTACTGATCAAACATTAACATCATCATCTCGTTTACATTTTCAATGTCAACAACCATTGCATGGTCGTTTTGTTTATATTGAAGCAAATGGTATTAGTTATCGTTGGAATAAATTATTTACTGCTGCACTTTGTGAAGTATTTGTTTATGAGCAGTAAATGAAATTTATTGATTTTTCTTTAATTGTCAGATTTCTTTGTATTTGTCTTCAATTAGAATTTTATGTTTTGTCAAAATTGTATGATAGAAATAAATATATAATACTTAATTTTTCACCGTTATTAATTTAAGATATTTTACATTATCTATCTATAGCTACTTCTAATATATTAATAAGACATATACGCCTACTTCAGAATATAGCCGTTAATCATGACGGTAACACAAGAAGTATTCTGTCCTCATATAAACTTGATTCTAATTAAAGCGAGCAAAGGTAAGTAATTTTTAAACTTCCACGGAACATGTGCGATAATACAGACTAATTAACATATCATATAAGATTTTCCACTAATTTGAGTGACATTGTTACAAGATCCTTCTATTGTAACTGAGCCAGTAGGATAAATGATAAAATAATTCCATATACTAACTGACTTCATTAGAAAAAAAACTAATTATCCATACAATCCTTTTTTTATCTAAGCATACATACTCAAGCGGACGAAAACAAAGAAGAGGGTGGGTGTGGATGCTATTCTTTTGACATTCACACTCACACCCACATTTCTTTTTTGCTACAAATAGTTGCTCTATGCCATTGATTTAAGAAATAGCATGCTAAACTTATGTGGACAACCGATTATCATTGAGCATTCACATGACTTTAAAGAAGAAATTGTCACAATATCATATTATTACTGAATTTATTAATAAAGATCATAGGTTCACAGAAAGCTAAAAATATTTAATAAACTGGTAGATTCTTGAAACTAAAAGAGGTATCAAAATATTTTATTTAGCCACTTTCGGTCTCATATCGAGTAGCTTTTGTCGATCTTCCAATCCTAGCTTGACAGCTTCTGTTAAACCTGTGCAGTTAAGAAAATAATCCATTGGAATATCTTCTTTGAATCTTGTATTATCATACAATGGATGAAATGTTGCATTTATTTCTGTTGTTTCCAGAACGAGTTGAATATTTGGCCCAAAATATTTTAATCTTTTGGGCATAATCTGTTTTATTATATTTCTGAATTCTTCATAATCAACTATCTTCAAATCTGGTACTAATTTTTGTATTACCTTGTGTATATAAAGACGTTTCGGTACAACCGCAGACATAATTCTTGGGTTTGTATCAGGATGGTTTAGTGATAATATATAATTATCCATCAACATTTCAAGGGGTGTGAAACACATTGCATATTTGAAGGCACATCCTAATGCTACAAACATACGAGCGATGCGCCAGAAAATATAATTTTGACCTGGATCAATCGAACCAATTATATAGCCAGGTTCAAAAAGTGTTCCTTTCAAACCTTTATCTATTTTTTCTTGCATATATTTGGACAACCACCTCTTGTATTCAAAATAACCATTAATAAAGTAGAAATCTTCTTTGCGATCAACGTGTGGATTGTCAACCAGATGACGTCCATAACTTCCGACGATATATATATGCTTAGGATACTTGGGATCCATACAATACTGTGTTAATTCTTTTGCACAATTTATCCACGGCTCAAAATGTTCAATTGGAACTCCGTACGCTGTATCACATGCCAAATGATGAACTGCACTAACGGATTGTTTATATTGCTCAAGAGCTGGTAATATTAGATTATGATTCTTGTCAAGATCAACACTGACGACTTCAACTTTCGCTTTAGCTTCGGAAAGATTTAAAGGAACTTGGAACTTATTTGCTTGTGATTGAACAGATGACCAAAACTCTCCCTGATCTCTATGTCTACTTACACATAGTACTCGATCAATAGTTTTCTGGCGTAGCAAATTATACAATACATGACTGCCAATATAGCCTGTAGAGCCGGTTATAAGAACTGATCGTGGCATCTAAAAGAATATTGAAAACAGTAAATTCCGAAATAGTTTTAACGATTTTCTTTCATGTCGACAAATTGTATATATTACTTATCGTTGATAATATCCAAAGGTGATCACAAATAAAAAAGAACAGATAAGTAAACCAACGTTTAATACAAGAAAATGTAAATAACACAAGCACAACAAAAACGACATGTATCTTTACGTACATGTTTCTCTTTATTGATCAATGATGCATAACCCCGATATGAAAACCATGTCGAACGTCGTTAAAAAAGTGCAAATCAATACTGTTTGTCAAGGACCGAATAAACAAAATGTATAAACAACATAACGTGATCAAACGAATAAAATGAAGAGAAAAAAACAGCTTGGATAATGATTCAAAAATGTTTAAATCAAAATTTTCTTGTGAATATATGATACGATCTGTTGTTTGTTCCACTAATTAAACGCACTATATCATTAAATATGGTGGTCATTATTATATGATCAATCATTTTTATTTTTCTAAAGTACTAAGCGATTTTTGGTCGTCATGCTTCTGTAAGCACATTTTTATGTTCTACCGATGTAAAAAAAACGTGTAAAATCTGATTTTCATCGATTGTTTTCTAGTGGCTGCGAGAGTGATCTACATGCACGTTCACACTCGCATCCTAGTTATAGATTAACTTGAAAAGATTATGTATTTGATTCGTTTCTTTGTTATATTTTTGTTTTCTTTTTTGGTTCACAAAATATTCCACGATATGAATTTAGTAAACAAATATTATTTCAATATTGATCAAATTTTTTAATTGATAAATATTCTTTAATAAATAGTAGTTACCCATTTCATGATTTAGCTGGATTATATATACGTCGTGATGATAAATCAACTGGAGATTCATTTTGGCATAAACATAATCAATGAAGAAATCTTTTATATTATGTTAAAGGATTTGTTGATGAAGAAAAACGATGGAAAATAACTTTTAAATATATTTTTGTTACGACAGATGAATTATATACACGTGAACATTGACGTAATCGAAATATACTTTATAATATGTTGGCACTACAAACATGTTTTAATCCATTTCAACGAATTGATTTTTGATGAATTTCTTGTTAGTATGAGATTTTTAATTCATTATACAGTTTCAAATGTTTTTCAATATTTTCATGAAGTTATTGATGCTCAACGATAGCAACCACAAGGTATACAATCATATACATTTGCTAAAAATGCTCCGGATTCTTTATGAAAAACTATAAATGAAACTATCTACAATAATACAAGAGAAACTCGTGAATTTCTTGAACACATGTAAAATATTAACCGAGTCAATAATTAATTTTACTTATTATTTGACTGATAATCAAATATGCAAATATTAACTTTGGTCTGTTTGGTGTATGTTATATTCATAGACTCTAATTCATCTTCATCAATATATCGAGATTATATATTAAATTTAAATCAATACAATGTTTATGTTGATCATTATCCACGTCGAAATCATTTTAAAAATACTAATTTATGTTCTTATATAACACGTACGGATCAAACGTTAACATCATCATCTCGTTTACATTTTCAATGTCAACAACCATTGCATGGTCGTTTTGTTTATATTGAAGCAAATGGTATTAGTTACCGTTGGAATAAATTATTTACTGCTGTACTTTGTGAAGTATTTGTTTATGAGCAGTAAACGAAATTTATTGATTTTTCTTTAATTGTCAGATTTCTTTGTATTTGTCTTCAATTAGAATTTTATGTTTTGTCAAAACTGTACGATAGAAATAAATATATAACACTTAATTTTTCAACGTTATTCATTTGAGATATTTTACATTATCTATGTATAGCTACTGCTCATATTTTAATATCTTGCATATAATTAGATTTATTAATAAGACAAATCGTTAATCATGATGATAACACAAGAATTACTATGTCCTTATAGAGGCTTGATTCTGATTAAAGCAAGCAAAGGTAAGTAATATTTAAACTTCAACGGAACATGCGCGATAAAACAGACTAATTCACATACCATATAAGAGTTTCCACTAATTTGAGTGACATTGTTACAAAATGCTTGTATCGTAACTGAGTCAGTAGGATAAATGATAAAATAATTCTATATACTAACTGACTTTATTAGAAAAAAATGCTATTCTTTTGACACTCACACCCACACCCACACCCACATTTCTTTTTTGTTACAAATAGTTGCTCTATGCCATTGATTTAAGAAATAGCATGCTAAACTTATGTGAACAACCGATTATCAACGAGGATTCACATGACTTTAAAGAAAAAATTGTCACAATATCATATTATTACTGAATTTGTTAATAAAGGTAATAGGTTCACAGAAAGCTAAAAATATTTAATAAACTGGTAGATTCTTGGAACTAAAAGAGGTATCAAAATATTTTATTTAGCCACTTTCGATCTCATATTCAGTAGATTTTGTCTATCTTCTAATCCTAGCTTGACAGCTTCTGTTAAACCTGTGCAATTAAGAAAATAATCCATTGGAATATCTTCTTTGAATCTTGTATTATCATACAACGGATGAAATGTTGCATTTATTTCTGTTGTTTCCATAATGAGTGGAACATTTGGCCCAAAATATTTTAACCTTTTGGGCATAATTTGTTTTATTATATTTCTGAATTCTTCATAATCAACTATCTTCAAATCTGGTACTAATTTTTGTATTACCTCGTGTATATAAAGACGCTTCGGTATAATAGGAGACATAACTCTTGGACTTGTATCAGGATGGTTTAGTGTTAACATGTAATTATCTATCATCATTTCAATGGGGGTAAAACTCATTTGATACTTGAAGGCATATCCTAATGCTACAAACATACGAGCGATACGCCAGAAAATATAATTTTGACCTGGATCAATCGGACCGATTATATAGCCAGGTTCAAAAAGTGTTCCTTTCAAATCTTCATCCATTTTGTTTTGTATATATTTGGACAACCACCTCTTATATTGAAAATAACCATTAATAAAGTAGAAATCTTCTTTACGATCAACGTGTGGATTGTCAACTAAATGATGTCCATAACTTCCAGTGACATACATATGCTTAGGATACTTGGGATCCATACAATACTGTGTTAATTCTTTTGTACAATTTATCCACGGCTCAAAATGTTCAAATGGATGTCCGTACGTTGTATCACATGCCAAATGATGAACTGTACTAACGGATTGTTTATATTGCTCAAGAGCCGGTAACAGTAGATTATGATTCTTGCCAAGATCAACACTGACCATTCCAACTTTCGCTTTAGCTTCTGAAACATTTAAAGGAACTTGGAACTTATTTGCTTGTGATTCAATAGATGACCAAAACGCTTCCTGATCTTTATGTCTGCTTACACATAGTACTCGATCAACAGTCTTCTGGCGTAACAGATCATATAATACACGAATGCCAATATAACCTGTAGACCCGGTTATCAGAGCTGATCGTGACATCTAAAAGAATATTGAAAACAGCAAATTTTGAAATAATTTCAGCGATTTTCTTTCATGTCAACAAATTGTATATTTACTGTGTAGAGAGATCGTTTTCAAAATTCAATTATAAGTAATTGATTGTTAATATTGAAGAGAAAAGTTTTATTTCGAAATATTTAATTTTCTATTTAACACTTTAATGATTATGAGTATCAATATCAAACTTGGATCTTTGATCCCTAAAATTCTGAAAATTTCATTTATATTTATACTGAAATTCTAGAATTCAGCTCAGTGCGCACCGCCTTATATGAAAATATTGTTGAGAAGGTATGAACAATATTTATGTTATAGGAACATGAACAAGGCTAAAGGTACACTTCGATGGAAATTCTGCAATATTAGAAGAGTGAGTATTTTGTTTAATTTTTTTTTAAATTTGTTTTAGTTTATTTTTATCAATATATCATGCAACAGTAAGTATTTTATTTAGATATTTATTTCTATTTACTTACTTTTGCGTTATTATTATTATCAATAGACTATGCATTAGTAAATATTTTATTTTAGATTATTATCACTAACGTGTTGTACAACAACAAAAACTTTATTTAAATATATTTTTATTTTATTAATTCTCGATTATTTATGAAGTCCATAACGTCCAACCTCTAAAGGAACTTGTCACCAAGAATATTTTCTATAAACGATGTTTGAATTAAGAGATATTATTATAAGAGCGAAATGGCAAAAACATTTGTCAAAGGACATTTTAGATTATACATCATCATCACTATACTGCTATAGTTTAGATAAATGCCGATTTTTGTACAAATAAATTTTTCATTTAGAATATGATTTTGTTGCAAATACAAACTTCTTATCATGCGGTGATTTTTAGTTTCTCTGAAGGAGTAGCGTGAAAAGATATTAATTAGTTATTATATGGAATAAATAAAATAATGAGAGAAGTACTTACCGAGACAAATAAACTGACTTTTAATACAAGAAAATGTAAATAACACAGATACTTTGAAAACGGCATGCACTTTTTCATACATGTTTTTCTCTTTATTGATCAATGATGCATAACCCCTATATGAATACCATGCCTAACGTCTTTGAAAAAGTGCACATCAATACGGAAGTGATTCATGAAGGTTTTCAATAATGTTTCTCATGTACAGAATGTATAAACAAAATAACGTGACCAAACGAATAAAATGAAGAGAAAAACCTAATTTTGATAATGATTCAAAAATATTTAAATCAAAATTGTCTTGTGAATATATATAATACGATAAGTTGTTTGTTCCACTAATTAAACGTATTGTATCATTTAATTTAGTGGTCAATATAAAATGATCAATCATTTTTATTTTTCCAAAGTACTAAGCGATTTTTGGTCGTCATCCTTCTGTAAGCACATTTTTATGTTCTACCCATGTAAAAAAAACGTGTAAAATCTGATTTTCATCGATTGTTTTCTAGTGGCTGTGAGGGTGATCTACATGCACGTTCACAGCGGCATCCTAGTAATAGATTAACTTGAAAAGATTATGTATTTGATTCGTTTCTTTGTTATATTCTTGTTTTATTCTTTGGCTCACAAAATACTCCACGATATGAATTTAGTAAACAAATATTATTTCAATATTGATCAAATTTTTTAATTGATAAATATTCTTTAATAAATAGTAGTGATCCAATTCATGATTTAGCTGGATTATATATAGGTCGTGGTGATAAATCAACTGATGATTCATTTTGACACAAACATAATCGATAGAGAAATCTTTCATATTATGTTAAAGGATTTGTTGATGAAGAAAAACGACATTAAATAACTTCTAAATGTATTTTTGTTATGACAGATGAATTATGTACACGTGAACATTTACATAATCGAAATATACTTTATAATATGTTGGCACCACAAATATGTTTTAATCCATTTCAACGAATTGATTTTAATCGTTTTCTTATTAGTATGAGATATTTAATTCATTATACAGTTTCAAATGTTTTTCAATATTTTCATGAAGTTATTGATGCTCAACGATAGCAACCACAAGGTATACAATCATATACATTTGCTAAAAATGCTTCGGATTCTTTATGAAAAACTATAAATGAAACTATCTACAATAATACAAGAGAAACTCGTGAATTTCTTGAACACATGTAAAATATTAACCGAGTCAATAATTAATTTTACTTATTATTTGACTGATAATCAAATATGCAAATATTAACTTTGGTCTGTTTGGGCCAATGGTGATTTTTGAAATAGTTGACAACAATATACTAATATGAAAATAGAACATGATTGAAAAAATATTTCTAGAATAATCTAATCAATTTCTAATAGTAATAATATCTTTTTCATTTTTATTGTTATGTAAATCAAACTGAATTTACAAGTTCTATTATAATATATTCTTTCAAAACAAAATATTTACTAATCGTTGATCAAATTTTGATAACATAAATTCATTGTGTGCATGTTAAAAAACTAATGACTATTAAACATTTATATTTTATTATAGAATTTCATGATCATACAAATTATTTCACATTTATGCTTCAATACACGACAATGAACATTAATCAACATAAAAAAACAGTCAATACTTTTTTTCTTGTTCTCTATAATACTCTGAGTTTCTTTTTTTTTTTGGAAGAATAAATAGAAATTATGCGTACTTGGTTATTTTTTGTATTGATAGGTCAAAAAAAGTTGTTGTACTACTTTTAATTTAATCCATAGCGTACTTTATCGAACTATTTTAACAGCTAATAATAATATTTTCAAATCGTATAAACTAAAACATTTTCTTTTTTTTCTATACCGATTGACGTTGTTATAAAACTTTTATACCATAAGCAGCATGCACATATATTTATTTTATGCATCATCAACAATGTTTCTTCCTACTTCTTTTTTCTTCTTCTCTACCTGTTGACGACAAAAAATAAAATTTAGCGAAGAAAAAAAAACAAATTCACACATGACAAAATGTCGGCTTACAGTCAATAAACGCTCAAAAGCAACGACTATTTTAAAATATTTTTATTCTATATCAACATGGCTTTTTCGTTAAAAAAACGTTCACGATCAAAATCTCAAGTAAGAAAATTTTATATTGAAAATACAATAGAATTTTTATTTCTTTAGGCATGTTTAATTACTGATAATCAAAATAAATCATTAGGTGAAGTACTTCATCGATCGACTAAAACAAAAAAGAAAGAAAAAGATGTATTTTATCAAAAAGATAGAATTTCATCAACAGCAGATAGTGACCTTGAGTCAAATATTCAACCTACATTAATTAAAACACCTGTTATTTATCGAAATAAATGTCTATGTGATACACATCATGAAAAACAATTAGTTGAACATACTTATGATTTAACAGTTGATAGATTATTTGATTTATTATTTGGTTCAAATGAATTTGTTCGAACATATAGACAAGCCCAACAATTCTATGGTTTATTATTCATTAAATAAAATTTCTTTTGAAAAAAATTCTCGTTTTTTTTTGAATTATTTAGATGATACAGCTACTGAATGGTCAAAAAATGAAATAACAAATCATCGTGAACGAATACTTACCTATAAAGTACCTTATGAATCAACATTAATTGGTAAAAGTACAATTGTTACACGTGAAAAACAAGTTAGAATTTTGTTATGATTTAATTAAATCGATTCTATACATTTAATTTAGACACTTTTTCATGAAATACCTGGTTCTCATTATATGCTTGAAACAGAAGTATCTAATGAAGGTGTACGATATAGTGATACATTTTCACTTACAATGCGTTATTGTCTTGTTCAAATGTCTTCAACAACAACTAATCTACGTGTTACTGCTCAAATTACTTATACTAAAGCACTCAATCGATTTATAAAACGTTTGTTATTTTATTGTTCTTTATTCATTCGAATAAATTTTTATACTTAGAAATAATTGAACGAAATGCTTATTCAGCATCTCAAGAAGGTTTAAAAGATTTAAGTAAGTTGAAAAGAAAATAAAAAGAAAATATTATCAATCATTATAGATAATCGTCTAAATCTTATTGCAAATTTTAAAATGGGTAAATAAAAAAAAAATATAATTTCTAAGTTTATTTTCTAAAATATTTTAAAGAACAACGGGGTTTAAATATAACTGAAACAATATCAATTGTACCAACAACTGAATCTGTATGTCCTCCGAATGAACAGAGCATACTTCCGGTACAACAACAGATATTATCTCCTGATACTCATACAAACACTCAATCTTCCGATGCAGATAAACTCATATATATGATTTTATTTCTGTATGAAATAAATTGTTTTAAGAAAAAAAATTATTTCTGTTTTTTCTTAGAGTCGGTATACTTATCTTTATACACATACATCTTGCTATAAAACTTAAACATGTGGTTGGTCTAGTTGATAATATAGCTCGTTTATTGAACAACAAAAAAATCATTTGATTATAAAAGAAAAATGTTTTTTGTTGATTTATTTTTATGCTTTTACTTTTTTTTTACTTATTATAAAAAGGAAATAAGTAATTCAAAAATTAAGGTTTGCTATAAAAACCTTTCTTTTCTTATTTAATTATAATTTTGTTAGTTACAAAATAAAATAATAGATAAAAATTCTTCTCTAACAATGAAAGATGACTTTATTCTTTCAAGCAGATAGTGGAAAGATTATTTCCACTACATTGAAAATATATCATTTATGTGTCAATACTATTTTCTCACTATTTGACATGTTTGTTTATTTTTGGTAAAACATAGTAATTTATTCTATAATCTATTTAGACACATTTGTGGTTTTCATTAAACATGGAAATATTTTTTTTAATGTATATTAACACAAGATTTACCCGAAAAAAAAAACAAAATCAAAATACACACGATTTATAATAGATTTTCATCTCTGTAGCATATGTCATTTCAGTGTGATAAACGCTTATTAGATATCGAATCATGCGGAAAAAATATGAAAATTCTTTAGAAGTTAATGATGTATACCATATAATAATATGTTTATTCTTCTAATATACTAATATGTTTTACGTTTTAATTGATAATTTATATAATTATCTAAAAAAAAGACAGTTAGGATATACTTTGGTATATTTATGATGATTTTTGACGTCAGAAAAATTTTAAACTAATACGCAATATTAATTTATATAGAAATCTAGAGTTGGCGATAGTATTGCTTGAACTTGCGTGCATTTGATTTATCTTAAATTTCCGTTTGAACTTCCTCTTACGATTATTTATATGAAAGAAAAAAGAAACAAAAGGTGAATACTGTTCCGTGACGCACACAGAATTCAACACGTCTATATTATTTTATTCGACATGTACCTAACAACACACTATAGGTGAAACAATTTCATGTTTGCTTATTAATATTAGATATAGCATAGACGTGTATTGAGTCTCTTATTCGAAATAGAAAGATTTTTTTTCTAATATATTGTATTTTTAATAAATGAGTCATTATATAGACGATAATCTATTATGAGAGAAATTCAATAAAAGAAAAATCAAGTAGAATGATTGCACTTAAGTATTCTAGAAAAGTCAGTTTAATGAAGAATGTCTGTTGTGTTATTAATATTTCTCTTTCCAGGTCTAATAAATTCTAAACTGACATTCAGCTTAAGACTTGATCAAATGTATGAATATAAGATGTTGATCATCCTATATTATTATGTTCAGTGTGTATCTGTACCGAGTCTAGTAAAGTATTAGTATAAGCAGTTAAGAATAAGAATGCAGGGATATGAAGAATTATAGTATACATGTATCGGGATAATGCTATAATATGCATCTACATATATCAATCGACTTATGGATTGTTTATTATCGAGTCAAGGTAAAAACAGAGGTATGAAACTGTACTTGAAAGAAAATCAGCCGTGCAGTATGCACAAGCTCTCGCTAGTATAGAATACTACAGATTACAAATTAATTTTTACCTTTCTTGAAGATGTAAGATCGTTTAAGTATGAGATAAACAGTCGTATACCTATCAAATCTTACAAGAGATTTTATCTAATCGAAATGACGGAGAAATTATTCCAGTATGATTATATACAAAATCATTTAAATTTCTTTTTTTTTGTTAAATAGAAATAGACGATATTAATCTTCTAAATATAATTTAATTAATTATACTAGTCTGTAGTACTCAATCTTTCGGCAATTTTTTTATATTCTGTAAAAGCCCTAACGTTAGAATGATATGATACATATGTGATCGAAATGTCAGTTTAAATAATCTAATTTTCGTACAGACTAAATCAATAGTATTCGAAGTAGTGAAAGAAGGGATATGTAGTTATTATAGATCGATGTATTTTTCTATACTACGAATATTAATTCGATTAAATCTAATATATATGAATAAATTATAAAAAAAAAGCATAACATCATAGGTTGTTCATACCTACAAAAGTTATTCTATTAAAATAATACTCAGTTTGAATATGGATATTTAAGCATTATGGGGTTAATGAGTTCTATGATAAAAAAAACAAAAATTCTTATGTTTTGACATGATTTCGCACATTAGTAGTTAATTCTATTAGAATTACTCCGATAAATAAATACGTATTGTTTAGATTTCATTGATTTGGAAATCTTCAAGCATTATGTATACAACTGGTATTGATAAATTAGTTTATTTATCATCTTTTGTTCTTTTCTTGTTTTTGTTGAATTGATTGATAATAATAGAATCTACTCAATCAAAGAAAATATGTGGTAGGCTATTTTATGTATTATTATTTTTTTGTCGCTTTAATTAAAATAGATTTTAAGATAAATATAGAATATATCAAATTTATTTCCGAAAAAAATTTTTTTGTTTTTTTGAAAAAGAAGAAGATCAAAATTTATTGCGTGTTTTAGTTGTAGAAAGGGAAAGAAAGAAAGAAAAAAGAAATAATTGTGAAATATATGGAGAAGAATGTCATCATCATTACTAGTGACAGCAAGAGAATCATAGAGTGTATACACCCAACAAGAAAGAACGCAAAACCCATACATGATTGATCGAAAAAAAATCTATTATCGTTTAAGTCTGATATTTATTTCCTTCTTATGCTGAATTCTAAATTTACAACAGCTCGGTGTTGATCTTATATTATGTGAGTAGATCTTATTTATCGTGATTACTTTTTGATTAATGTTTTTCTTTTATATGAAAAAAAAAAAGAAAAATTTTCTTCCAGGTTTTCGAAGAATTGTACAGAATATTCTGAATATTATTATTACGACAGATATGATTTATCACTATTTAAAAGTTAGTTAGTAATTGTTTTTGGTTATTGACATGAGATACTACTTTATTTTGTAGTTACACGTGCAGAGAAATGATTACCAAATTCTACATATTTTGTTGTCTAACATATCGACTAAAATGTTTCTTTTCATTCGTTATAATCTTAAATATTTATGTTATATCGCTAATAAAAAAGAATGTGGACTTTTTGTAAGTAAAAGTACTATTATATTATCAACGGAGATTAAAAAAGAAAATTAATTTATATAAGCCTACTAAAGTCTCTGGGTGTTTTTTCTTTTAGATAGTATTCATATGGAATGAGTGCTGTTAATAATACTATAAATATCACATTCATAAATGACTCTCATGGCCATCCTTCTATGGTTTATACTTGTCTACTTGCTATAATAATGTTTAGTCTTGCTATTCTTACTATTTTTGGCAATTCAGTTGTTATTTATGCTTTACGAACCAATCGTCATTTAAAAACGGTAATATTTTATAATTCTCTTCTAATGATTATTGTTTAAAAACATAAGCCTGAAATTCTTTGAAATATTATTCTAATCTATTTTTAATAAGTTCTTTTTTTGGACTTGTTGTTATCTGAAGATGAAAGATATATCCGTCGTTGAAAAATGACATGCATAAAATAGTTTAATTAATCAGATTTATAATAAAATTAGTAGGAGTATGTCATAAAAACAATTATTTTTCTATTTGAAAGTGTCCTCTTCAAATTAAATATAAAAATGAAAACTTAACATTCTTTTCTTATTTTCATGAATTTATTACAGAAGACTAGATAATAATCTAAGCAAGATGAAGAATTATTATTTTCAATGAACCATAATTTAAAATATTGTCCTAATTAATGAAACCGTCTTATTAATAACTTATAATTATCATAAGAAAGTCATAGTTTTACTGATACAAAATTAGAACGGCACACCCTTTATATATTCAGTACATGATATATATATATATATATATAATCATGATTAATGCCAGTCTGCTTATTTCAATATAGAAAAAGAATAAATCGATATACATTCAATATGACAAAGATTGTAAACATGTACCTAGAGATGTATGTGTTTACAACATTCAATGCATGCTGTACATTGAATCAGATTGATCAAATATATTTTAAAAAATGAAGACAAACGGAAGTCAATAATTCTATAAAACAAATAATGTTACCTTTACCCGTCATGTGTACTTTATTTTCTACTAACAAATGGTTGCATACATAAGAATAAAAACACTTATCAGATGTATATGAAAGAAAAATTAGATGTCATTTTCACATTTTTTTAGTCACTAGTGTCTGAGAATTAGAAACAGATGGACAGATGAAATCATGATTTTTTTTCTCTCTCCCCCTCTTTATACTTATAAAAATGAGTCAATGACAGTACTCTTCTTAGTTATATTTTAAATTTCTTCAAAATAAGTTTATAAGAGTTTTGTTCCTTTTTTAAGACTTATTGGATGTCTTATGACGTCATATATTTACCTACAAGTGACATGTTTTTTTGACAATCTACGCAATTAAATTCATTTAGACATTTATTTTAGAAAATGAGTTACGCAAATACTTGCACCTTGTCATAGTAAACTTTTAAGAAAATGTAGAGCAAAAATATATTGATAGAAAACATGAATATATACTAACCTCTTCTGTCTATTGCATCTTCAGTTTTTTTTCTCTATTTATTTAAACATTACTTTTATTATTTTCTCGTTCAATAAGAAATACAAAATATTTTGCTTTTCTTCTATTCTCATGTCACTATCGGCATAAATACGATACTATATGAATCATATTCAATAAACATTATGTGATTAGTTAGTTAGAATTATTTCATCTATTACTATTCTATATCCCTTTAACATATGAGCAGTACAAACAAATATTTTATTGGCGAAGAGCGACAACAACAACAACAACAGGATACATATTCTTCTATTAATATTCACGATCATTCATTTCGTTTGAATGATATGATAGAAATTAGTTTAATAAATATAACAAATCGAAATTTAAATGGTAGTCTATATTATTCAATATCAAATTTTGAATATACAACATTAACATACAAAATTAGTATGGGATTTATCTGTGCTTGTCTCTGTCTATTAACAATAACGGGTAATCTCTTCGTACTTATTACATTTCGTCGTATACGTAAAGTAAGTATCAGAGTAGTGAATAAGTTAAGTAATTTAATAAGAATCGATGTTAACGCCGATACTTTAAGAGTAAATTTACTACTTTCTTCTTTCTGTTCTTCTATTTGAGCATTATCTTCAAAAACGATCAATAAATATTTTATAACCATTTATGATATTATATAGGTAGGCAATCTGTTCATCTTGAGTCTTGCTACTGCTGATCTAATTGTTGGCTGTTTTGTCATGCCCATTGCTGGAATATATGCTATTATGGAAAAATGGAATATGGGTATGTTATTTAGATCTTTTCATCTCCTCTATACTCAACATCTCCTATATTTTACATGTTGTTTCTTTAACTAAAGAAAATAATCGTTTTGTAATTATACAGTCGAAAGGAAATTCAAAATATATATCAAAGAGTGCATATATCATCTATATAATATAGACAACTTGTATTTTCAGCTGATATATGATATATTTATAGTAGATAAGGCACGCAGTACAAAAGCTAATGAAGAATAATTTCATTCATTCGTGTAATTCTAATTAGAAAAATGATTTTTGCGTTTTTAGGTCTTATTCTTTGTCAGATTTGGCTTTCAGTTGATTTTACTGCTTCAACAGCATCGATATTTAATTTATTGACATTAAGTTTAGATCGTTATTGGTCTATAACATCTCCACTTCAATATCTCGGTAAACGAACACGAACACGAGCTTTATTATTAATTGGTTTTGCTTGGGGTTTATCTCTTCTATGGGTTATACCAATATTTAGTTGGCATCATTTTAATAATGGTACACGTTATGTTGAAGTATGAATTGATTCGAAATTGTTTTAAATCTAATATTTAATCATCTTTTAGTCTGATAAATGTGAACCTGAATATACACATTCAAAAGTATTTAAAGTATCTACAGCTGTAATTAATTTTTATTTACCGCTACTTGTTTTAATATCATTAAATGGTCGAATGTATTTTGAAATAAAACGACGTTATAGAAATGCTCTTCTACAAAGATATTCAAATAAAGCGACTGATTCTCCAAATACTTGTAAATTACATCCAACAAGAAAAAATTCTCGTATACCTATAACAATGACATTATGTGATAGTGATCGACAGATATGTAAAACACCAATGAACTATATAGAAAATGATAATTTAACAACAATACCACAACGTTTATCAGTTATTAATGATAATAATTTACCATTACGAATAAATTATACAGAGAAAAGAAATCGTTCAAGTATACCAGTTCCATTATCTACCAGTCGACAATCATCTTTAAAACATACATATTCATTTGCTGAAAAAAATCATTGTACACAGGTAAATTATAAAAAAACAAGGAAACAAATTTTTAAGAAATAAAAAAATATTATCTAGGATGAATTATTATGGTTTGCTCGTCATGATCAACCACGTTCATCATTAAGTCCAACACCAACATTACGTCCACGTCGTACTGGATCAAAACGTCGCTTAAATGTTGATGAACGATGTTTTAAACATACACATGATTGTCCTTCATGTCGATTCTATTCAAATGAACAATTAGAAATTTCTCAAAGACATCATCGTAATTCCTATCATTATTATCAAACACAACCTCGCTCATCATTTCGTAGTTCAATAAGTCGAACAACATTAGTATGTCGTCGTTGTTCATTAAATGATGCAATGAAAGCGACAACTACAACGACCACGACAACAACGCGTATATTTAATTTATGTCTGTGTTGTTCAGCCGCTTCATCAGCTACAACTATTCATTCAGATATAGATCCTTATAATAATAATAATAAAACACGAACATTATCCGTGTCATCGGCATCATCAAATACAGGACGAAGAAAAAATAAAACATTATCTTCTAATTTGAAAAGAAATAGTACAATATCAAATATAGTACCTCGTGCTAATTCTTATATATGTCGCCGTTCATCAAGTAGAATGAAACAAACAACTGTATGGAATCAACAAGAAAAAGCTTTTCGACAACTATTTGCTATTGTATTTGGTTTTACAGTATGTTTTCTACCATATTTTATTTTATATATGGTTGTTGCTTTTTGCGGTTCATGTGTATCCGAACGATTTCTTACAGTAACTATTTGGCTTGGCTATGTTAATTCAACTATAAATCCATTTTTATATGCTCTTTCAAATAAACATTTTCGACAATCATTTAATCATATTTTTAAACGTAATCGACGACGTCAATCATATTATAATTAAAATAATATATTTTTGTGTACTGATATACATATATTTGTTTTAAAAAACAGAATCATTTTATAAAATAGAAAATAATTATCATACGGAAATGATGAAATCATATAAATTGTATTAAAAGAATGAAGTATAGTGTATTTATAGATTATATTCTCTGTTTTCATTCATCATTTATTTATTTGACATGTCTATTCTTTGAATTATGTTTCTTTCAAAAAAAAAAATTATGATTACATCTTGTATCAAAAAATAATCAGTATGAATCTTGTCAAATACAAGTTGTTCTACTTTTATTATAGGTTCACATGAACTCATTTAATATGTCAAGAAATGTTCCTAGATGATTATTTGGTTTAGTACAAGGAAAATAGAATGTTTTCCAAGGAAAAACAACATTTCGATACTCAAGTAATGTCTATCGTTGAACTTGTTTCATATAACAAACAAAAGAAAAGATTTAATCATTTCTGTTTTTTTTTGCAAAATAATACAAATTTTTTTATTCCTGTTTAAAGTATTCAGTTGGTGACCAATGATTAAGTCCAGTTATAATCCAACTGTCATCATTAGCATTTTTACTCATATTACGTAAAAATTTATAATTACAAACGATAACATTATCTCTCATTTTTCTCATTGTTGCTATCATATTCGAAGCTGTATTGCCAGTAGCATGAATCATTTCTTCTTGATATAATTCAGGATTTTTAAGTACATGAAAGATCATTGAAACTTCTACTAGATATGTTTCTAAAATAGATTATTTTTTATATTAAAAAATGATTGATTTAGTTTATTATTTTTACTTGTTTGCTCATCCATACCGATACCAATTGAATATGGATAAGAAAAAATAATTTCTGATTCTTCAACAGGAATTTGTTGTTTTTGTTGTGATGTTAAATGTTTATAATTTTGTTTGACTTCATTGATAACCTAGATAATATTTTTTTTCTTTTCTTTTCAGGAGAAATATTCTACCTGCTGTGTAACAAATCCTGGAAGATCATCAAATTGATCATTAGCAATAAGATGTGAAACGACCATTAATGCTTGTCGAGCACCATCACAAAATGGTTTTATAGCAAATGTTGAATCAAAATATCCATTGATAATTATTCGAGAAAAGAAATTTTTCATCACTAGAAATAAATTTGGTGAAGCTATATGAGGAATATTCATAAGCATCAGTGGGCGATGATGATCAGTGGACATCGAACGAATACTTTTGATTAAGGGCAAACATTTAGATGAAGAATAATTACGAAAATAAGTAAGAAATGATCGATTTATAATCGAAGCCATCTGAATGTTAGAAATAGTTTTTAGAATATAAATGAAGAGATTGACAGAGTTATGATAAAATCCAATGAAAAAAATTTCCTTAGAATCGTTTTCAAAAGATGGCGTACTTTGATGAAATCTTTTTCATGTATGAAGAATTATGAAAAAGAGGTTCACACTACTCTCAATACGATGATGTTATGGTAATTAAATCAATAGTAAAATCTCTAATGATCTAATTATATTTAATCTATGCTGAATTGTAGAACTTAAAATAATGAATATTTTCTGGGATGAGAAACAGTGGCGGATCTAGGATTTTGCTAAAAGCTATTTTTTGAGTCTAACCGAAGTAGTGTGAACCTATTTTTTCGTTCATTTTTGCTGTAAAAAATTTAAAAATGAATTCGGAAGGGGGAGGAGCGATCACCCCCATTGCCCCCCTAAATCCGCTACTGGTGAAAAACCATTATTCCAAAATTTATTAATGTATGGCTCATTCATCGGTTAAATTTATTTCAAATAAAAAATGCGAGAAGATTAAAAATAAACATGAAAAATGATATTTCACAATTAATTGCACTGCTTGAAATAAGACCATTCATATGGAGATAATTATTAACTGCTCGTGTCCATATGGCGTAACCATTTTCATTCATATGTAAATTATCGGATATAAATAATTCTGATCGTGGTGTACCATTCGATGTTAATAAGTCATTAAAAATATCGATATAATGAATATTTTTCATATGTTGAATATCTTCTCGTATAAGATGATTTGTTCGATTCATTTCATTGATTTTATTAAAACGACTTGGACTTGGTTTGATAGAAATATAAGCTATAGGTATTAATGGAAAAAATCGACGAATTGTTGAAATAAATTCACGAAAATTTAATTGAATATTTATAGCTGTTTCACCTTCGTCAGCAATATCATTTTCACCAGCATAAAGAATTAATATACGCGGTTCTAATGGTAAAATAATACGTTTAAATTGTTGCCAACATTGTTTTAATGTTGATCCACCAAAACCTCGATTTATTTTATCGATTGGTATATGAGAAAAATCTTTTTCTAATGTTGACCAAAATCGTATTGATGAACTACCATAGAAAACAATTTGATTTTGTTTTGTATTACTTAATGATTGATCAAATTGAAGTAATTCATTTTCAAATGGTGTATTAGAAAGTATTTCATTCGTATTTTCATCATCAACATAATGACAATTTAATGCATTACGTGTATAACGAATAGATTCATTTGAATTATCAATTTCAAATGTTTGTGTACATGTTCCATTAGATTGTTGACCCCAAATAATATCATTATTTGAAATTTGACGACGCCAAAAACATGAAGTTCTATTTACATATACCAAAAGACCTTAAAATATATTTAAATAATACGGAAATATTTTCTTTTAATATTTAATACCCTTTGAAGTATCTGTAAAAATTTGATAAGTATTTTGATTATCAGTTTTATTAATACTAATAAAATGATTTATCTAAATATAAATATGTAATAATCAATAGAATAATATTAATTATCAAACCCATGTATATTCAATATTATCTAAAAAATTTAATGTAAATGTTTCATTATTATAGAAGAAAGCTTGACCGAGTTGTCGCGAATAATTCTGTTGGCTATTATCCCATTCATTTATACACCATAAACCACGAAATGCAATCGGTGTTGATGGATATAATTCTATTTTTTAGATTAAGTATTAATTTTTTTACAAAGGAATTCTGTATTCTTACTTTGACATAGAATGATTTCAATTGCAAAGAAAAAAAGAATAAATCGATACATTTTTTGAATGATTATTAGTCTTATGTGTTATATTCTTGTTTTATACAACTGATATTTATAGTTTGGATTAGGTAAAAAGTATAACCTTCGAACACGATCAGTTTTGACATTAAATATCAATTTTATTTATACAAAATGCAATGTACTTTATCGAAGTGCTTTATTAATAATTAGGGGTATTACTTTATCTTTACTTTATAAATAATGATAACGAAATAAAGTAAATCTGTATATATTTAAAGTGAGGATAAAGATAATCTTTATTTGCAAAACTAAAGTTAAGATAAAGAATAAAAATAATTTTTTCATGCAATAAGTACATGTACAAATACCATGTATAACAACAGAATACCTTTATTAATGCTCTTTCTTATCCTCATCATCATTTCCATATGCCAGATTCTCCAAAAGATGGATCACACAACAAACGATATATACGAAAAATGCTATTCCATATTATAGTTAAGTATATAATATCATAATTTTTTGTGAGCTACTCTAAGAAAATAGAGATAAAGTAACACCTCTACTTATTGCCATTACTTTATTACTTCTTCTTCAATTTACTACGGATCATAAGACATACAAATCACTATCTACAAATGTTATGCATCCTTAGTAACTTGCATATCTTATGATCGGTTGTAAACTGAAGAAAGAATCAAAAAAGTAATAAAGTAGTGGTAATAAGACATCCCTAATACTTCAATTTGATTTTTTTTCGTCGATAAACAATGCATAAAGGTATTTTAGCAATAGGAATAATGAAAAATGTTTATTTGAATCAGATTTTGCTGCAATATCGGTTTAGCTTTCCACTTGATTAGATTTGTTTTTTAGCTCAAGTTCTGTTTAATCATAAATGCGTTTATTTTAAGAATTTTTATATGAGTAAAATCATACATGTATATTATTGAGTGGAACTAAAAGAATTTTTTTGTGGTTTTACATTCTTTGTAATATTATTTTAACTAGAATGGATATTCTTATCTATCAAATATTTTCTATGTGTGTGTGATGTTTTTGTAATTCAATAGATTTTTGTCTTTATCTTTAATAATTAGAAATACTAGAAACAACAAACACGTACAGTTCGGTATTTATTTACCTAGAAACCGAAATCGAGAAAATATGTGTATAAAAAATAGTATGATTAAATGTTAATGATAATAAAGAAGAGAAAAAAGAAAAAATAATTAATTTTTGCTAAGTTATTTTAAGAGTTTTACGCACCATTATCATCATGTTTATATTTATAGATAAAGAGACATTATGGTAAATATTATAAGGATAAATGATCTGTTTCAGATGATAAGAACTGTTTGCTTTCATCATTGATTATATATGACATTGTATCTAAATAAAAATATAGTTCCTGTATTTTCATATCATTTAAGACCTGTCAATACTTGATTGTACAATGATAATTGCATTCAAGTATTTATCTTCATTTTTAATGAATTATACTCTTAAGAATCAATCAATCAAATAAAAATTAGTAATAGAATCGTACACCACTTGTGTTTATATAATCAGTTTTGATATATTCTTTTCATCAATATCAATGAATATTCATTCGATTATATTTCAGTCACAAAAGCTAACAAAAAACTATGATCCTAAGATCACAACAGTACGCATGAATGAAAAAAAAGAAAAGAAAAACAAGCGAGTATAAGATAAAATAACAAAAAATGAAGTGATCAAAGTCAATATGGAGAAAAATATATATATCAGTATAAAGGACATGATTATAGAGTACTTATTTCTAATTCGATCCGTTAACAGGCTCAATACAATTATACTGGCATGAACACATACCAACGTGGCAACATTTTTGTGCCCCTGGACAATCACAGTCACTTTCGCAACCTGAAACTGTAGTGCACACAAAACGACCACAACGAAACATTGGGTTTGATGATGGACATGCACCTATATAAAAATCGATAGAAATCATCTTTTATGTATACGAAAATAGATTTACCTTCTTTGTCACTGGTATCACGACGTTGTCTAGGTTTAGCTTCAATTGAGCCGATTATCAAAAGTAAAAATAGAAGAGCAGCGAGTGCAGAAATGGTATTCATTGTAAAATATGTATTTTTATTTTTCGTTCGATTGTTATATATAGAGGTGTATTAATAAGAAAATCGTCACATGCTTTCGGTGTACTTTGTTCTCTGATATCTACAACGTAATATGCATTTTTTTCGTATTACTTTTTCACCCTTCATAACAATAATTTACGTTTTTAGAGAAACGGGAAAATTTATTTATAGTGTTTATTTTAGAAAAGGTTGAAAAAAGGACACAGTTTTAATAATACCAAAAAAAAAGAAAAAAAGACCATTTAAAATTTAGTTAATTAACTATCTATTGAAATATTTGTGTTATAATTGCTTTTTCTTCGTTACGATCATCAATTAAACGTGTTACCATTTTTCGACCTATTCCCCATGTATCAATTTTATCAGCAATTAAAGTGTCACCTGTTGGTCTTGCTGCATTTGGACTACGTTTTGATAAAATACGAATTGTTTGTCTTGGTCGTAAAGAAAATATTGATGGAAATTGATATACAATTTCAGGTTGTTGATCTACTTGACGACGTATTACCCATTTTTGAAATGACTGTTCACTACCACTATATTTTTCATTGACTAATATAACTGAATCAAGTTCTAAATCAACAGAATCAAAAGATATTGGACCTATAATAATAATAATATTATTCATAAGAATAAATTCAAATTTATAAGATTATTATCTTAATAACCTCGTGCTGTTTTTTGAACAGTCATTTTCTTAGTTGCTAAATCACTAGGAACTCGATCGAGAGGTTGATCATTTGGATACGATGATGGTGTTGCTGATGATGATCCTAATGATGATGATGTTAATGGTAAATTTTGTTGTTGTTGTTCCATTCGATTTAAATGTTGTTCTTCAACATGTAATAAACGTCCATATGTTGATAATTCAAATCGTAATGATATATTATTTTCTAGCATACTATCAATACCATCTTGTTTATCAGCAATAGTTTGCTGAAGTTGTGCAAATTCTTGATCATAAACTTGTCTTTCACGTGAATGTTCACCTTCAATTTTTTCTAAATCTTCAATAATAGCATCTAATTGAGATTGTAATTGTCGATTTTCTTCTTGTAATGAATAGAAAGTAGTTTGATTTTCTCGTAATGATGATGTTAAATGTGTTTTATCCATTGATTCAATAACACCTTCACTTGCTAATACACGTTTACGTTCATTTTCAGATTCAATTTCTGCACGTACTTGTTCAGTTTTTATATTATAATATTCTTCTAATTCATTGACTTGTTGATGAGAAAGTACTTCAAAATCTTGTCGAATATCAGATATAGCACGAGCTAATTCTGCACGATAAAATCCTGATACATCAAGAACAGGTGTACCTTTTTTATAAGAAATAAAAATAATATTTCAAAAAAAGACACTAAAGTATTTCATTTCTTACTAAGAGTTACTAATTCATTTCGTTGTGCTAGATGAATAGCTTCTTGAAAAGCAGCATGTTCTCGTAATGTTTGTAATTCATTTTCAATGACAATACGTTCTAATTGTTGATTATCTAATTCATTTTTTAAACCATCTAATTCTTTAAGTAAATCTTCCATAATACTTCGTTGTCTTGTTAAATCAGTTAAACGTTGATCGCATAGATTTCTTAAATGTTCTAATTCAACACTTGTTCCATCTAATTCTTGTTTAAGTTGATTTAATCGATTTATATCATTATTATCTTCAAATGTAGCTATCTGTTGTTGAATTTGCCATAAATCATATTCATGTCGTTTTAATTGAAGTTCTTGAAATGCTCTATCACGTATAGCAGCATCAATTTGTTCACGAAGTGCCTTTAATTGTGGATCATAAACTGCATGTAATTGTGCAGCATCACCACCCCATGATTGTTTTAAATTAGTTAAATTAGTTGATAATTGTTGATTATGACTTTCAAGATAGTGAACACGATCCAAATAAACAGCAAATTTTGCATTCAATTCTTGTAATTCACGTTGTTCTTCTTGATGTTGTTTAGTTATTGTTGTTATACTAGTAGCAGTTGATTGATGACCAACTGTTCGACCATCATCACTTACTGGTCGTAAACCACGTTCAACTAATGTTCGACGAATTAATGTTGAATCATCATATTGCTGCGGTCTTGCCAGATTGCTCGTAGCAATATCACTACGTCGAATGTCATTTCGCTCTGAATCACTCTGAGTGATAATATTATTTCTATTGCTCATCGCTGATATTTTGATGATTAATTTTTAATAACGTCCGAATTATACGAAACAATACATCTATACTTATATGCGTACTAAGTAACCACCGCTGTTGATGACGTGGTTTTGTATAATGCAAGGAAGTATGTACGAAGAAAAAAAAAAGAATCAGTGATAATATTTCGTCAGTATATTTTTTTCTATGTACGTGCAAGTATATTGCTTTTCTTGTTGTTGTTACTATTATAATCAGCTGCAATATCTTTCTCCGTCTTACTCTCGGTTCTCTTTTTTCTTTCTGTGCCCATCGGTATAGCGACAGTTGTGTCCAATCGATTAGCTGTGCCTTTCTAACGAGATAGAACATAGGCGAACATATGTACATCAACATGGTTAATTTTTACCATATTTCTTTTCTTTTTAACCTATCTGGTCATGCATCATTGATCCTTTCCTCTCATTTTTATCTCTTCTAAATTGCCTACTGATGAACAAGATGAAACAGGAGGAAAAACGAATGATATTATTCATATACCCAATAAATATACACTATTCAACATGATTTATATCTCGAGAATAGTAATTAATATGAAAGTCATACTTGAAACACATATTTGTTATGGTTAATCACCATCCTTGTTTAGTAGCAGGAACTAAAATTAAAAAAATCTTATACATTATATCTCACATAGATTCAATTTATTGCTAATATTTTACTGTCAATTGTCAAGGTAAATAAAGATAATGACATTTTGATATGAAGAGAAAAAATTCTAATTAATGACGTTAGATATTAATATAAAAAACAAATAATCAACAGTTTAATTCAAGGTTATTCTCTATGTTTATATTAACTTTCCGATCGGTACAAAAAAAATAACAGGTGATTCAATGATAAATTATCACTATCTAAAATATCACTTAGATCATTTGATGTTTTAGTGTTAATTATAGTGAGCAGCATCCACAAGAAATATGATATATATTATGGGTAGTACTTATAGTATTTATATATAAGCAAAAACTCTATATGATCATATATCTATGAATTTCTAAAAACAAGATTGAATTGTATGATAAATATGAAAGAATTTTGTTATTTCTCGTTCGTTTAAATTGATTTCACTCGTATGTTTTATATCATATGAAATTTATCTATGATAATCTTATTAAAATTCAATTTCGAAATAATTGTTATGTTTAACATCTAATCGTTTATTGATCTTTGTTACAATGTATTTATTTCGTAGGTATAGTCAAATACTCAGTGATATTCATGATACGTTAATAAACATTTCACATTGAAAATAAGAGAAGATAGTAGTATAATACTTATCAGATTTCTAAGGCGTTGAATAATAGTTATTTTGATGAAATAGAAACTCATAATATCACGTATGGAGATCTTGTTTAAATAAAAACATCACAACAGGCTTATTCTGGTTACCGTCATCATTCTCTTTCTTTAGTGATCTGATACTGATCAGATGACATACGAGACTTTATTCCAGCAGTGGCGGATCTAGGATTTTGGAGGAGGGGGGGGCGATTTTGACAAAAATCTATTTTTTGATTGCAATCGAAGTAGTGTAAACCTATTTTTTCGTTCATTTTTGCTGTAAAAAATCAGAAAAATTTTCTGAAGGAGGGTCGATCGGCCCCCTCCTAAATCCGCCACTGGGTTCCAGTAGAGTTGTACCAGATGACAAGAAAAAACTGATCTCTATATTAGATTTTTTTACTAATTCTACGTTACGTATTTTTACTGATGAATCGAAAAACAAAAAAGAAAGAAATTAAATTCTGTTGATATATGATGTTGACTCACACATGTTTTACTTTAAAGAAGAGAAAGAATTCATTGCACTTTGTCAGTAGTCTTCAAATAAAACAATAAGTGAACCGTAAGAGCAACAGTAAAAAACGGAAAAAGAAGAAACGATCTTTTTTTTAAAAATAATCATGTGCTATTACTGTCATGTTATGCAATTTAATTGCTCGGCATCACCGCATCGAAGTATCAATTGTAAAGACATAGATAATTATGTTTCAAAAATACTAGCGAAAACTAGAACTCATTACCAAGAAAAACGTTTCAAACGATGTTCTTCTTGTGAAACTTACCGTATTAATGTACTTAATGTAGCATATCTTCCATGTAGTGACGTACCAACATGCGAAACATACAGTTTACAACAAACAACATGTCCTATATGTTAAACACTCATTACCAACCGAAAAAACCTTTCTTCTCTTTCAAAATATACCTTTTGAAATATTGTAACCTTCAAAAATAAAGTTTTGTCGTGACGTATTTATATAAATGATTCATATGATACCTATTCCCGCAGTTATATTTATCATACACGTGTATGTCGATAGATATAAATCGAATAATAAAAACAGTTCGTCCTTCTCACTTGTTTTTTTCAATCACTATACGTAAAGATTATTTACACGAGTATTATATCGAACTAAGTTTTATAGCATAACCAAATGTCTTCATCAAGTAGGTTGAAAAACAATAAAATCGATCATTTAACAATTGTTTAACTTTCTTTTTATTTAAGTAATTGATTGTTTTCGATCATCTAAACATGCCATTTGTTCAAAAATCTTTCGTGTATTTGTTATGTTTATTCTAACAATTACAACTGCTACTGTTGAAATTATTTATGGTATACGTTTACATGCAAATTCATTGATAGCTGATGGATTATATTCATTTGCTGAAGGTATTTGTTTAATTGGTGTTATATTAGTTCTTCGTTATTCACATGGATATAATCCTCAAAAAAATAATACATATGGTTATGAACGATTAGAATTATTATTTGGTCTTATACAAGAAGTATTTCTTCTATCAGTATCATTAGGTATTATAGTTGATGCCGTTAATCATTTGGTTAATCCAATGCATGTACTTGATCCATCATTAATGATTATTCTTGGTGGAAGTGGTATAGTTGTTGGTATTCTTGGTATGCTTATGTTTTGGGGTTATCATCATGATCATGATATTGAAGAAGAAATTACTGAAAAGAAAAAAATTGATTTCTTAACATGGACAAGTAAGCACATGAAATCGAAACATAAATCACCCGTTTCGTTACATCAAACTAAAGTTGTAGAAGCTCCATTATTGTCTGAACAGACGAAAATTGAAACGGGTGATCAATCAAGTAAAGATTTAGATATTGAAATTCAACCACGAACTCCTCAACAACGTCGACCTAGTCTCGATGCATTCACGTATGAAAATGTTCAAATAGAAGAATCAAGAATTTATGCTACTTTACACGCTCTATGCTTACATTCACTCGTAAATTGCCTAAAGAATTACTAACCTTTTTTATTTAATTTTCTCTTTTAATTAGGTCGTTTTATTAGAATCAGTTATTGTTGTTTCATCAGGTTTAATGATTAAATTTATTCCACATCAAGATCCAATAACAGGAAAAGAAATTAATACTTGGTTAAAATATGTCGATCCATTATTAACACTTGCAATGGTTGTTATTATTGCTATTCGTGCAATTCCAGTTATATTTTCAATTAGTAAAATATTAATTGAAAGTCTTCCAGGTGGTATTGATACAAAAGTATTAATGGAAGAAATTTTAAAAGCACAACCAGAAATTAAAAGTATACATAGTCTTCATATTTGGAGGTAGAATAAAAGAAATTATTTTCTTGTAAAAGATTATTTTCATTATTTTTAGAGCATCTGCCAAAGAAATTTATGCAACAATGCATCTTGTTTGTGATGAAGATGTAATGTTAAGTACATGTACACATACATATAGTCGAAATGTAGAAAAAATTTTAAAAAGTTACTGTATTCGATATTTTACATTACAATTTGAATATGTAGCATTAAATCCATCTGATCCATTACCTATTTATCGGTGTGCTCATGGACTTCATAGACGACGACGTGGTCATACATTAGATGATCCAGTGACAAAATTAGCTAAAGATGCTATAGTTCATATTAATTAAAAATAAAAATAATTTTTTTAGATTTTATTCTATAAAATAAAATTAATGAATGCTCATACGAACATTTCAAGATTTTTATTGTGAAGACAGTCAATTCCGGAATAATATAACTAACAACAATCATATCAGCGTTTCGATCAACTTTAGTGATCATTAACTAGAGACTCCACCAACACCATCACGACCTATAATATTGATGATGACGTCTTATTGCTCCACTAATATATGTAATAAATTCAATTTCTTGAGACAATTAATTATTAGTACGGAATTTGCTCTCTTCACAATAAAAATCTTAAAATTTTTGTATTATTAATTAACTGTCTCATGATATAGAATTTACTGAATGACCAAACCAAATGTAACTTTCATATACAATTATTTAGTATATACAGATAATCTTTCACATGAAGTTGAATGTTTGAAAAAAATACGAAGGCTTGAACTTATTTGATACATCATCCTGTTTTTTGTCTTCAGATCAATCTAGTTACCTCGTTCGATAAAATTATGAAAGGTTTCTTAATTTGTTTTGAATCATAACTGTTGTTTTCTAGAGGATTTATGAAAAAGTCGACTTTATCTGTAGAGAAATATCAGCGTTAGTCAGAAAATTGATTGTACGTTATTTTGAGATTTGTTAATATTTTATATGGTTCTCTATTCTTATTAAATTTAAAGAGACTCTGTCTTTGTATTGATTCTATAAATATTGTCTTCTTATAAATATCTCATCATATAGTGCAATGTAATTGAAGTTCGTACTCATAAACACAATAGCTATATATACATTTTCGATATAAACATATCGTTTTCTTTAAGTACATAACGCAGTATAATGATGTCGAGTCAGAAAAAATCATGGAAATATCAAACGTTAGAACTTTTCTCAAACAATACATCGCTCTATAATTAAACTATAATATTATCTTGATTAATAATAATGGATCTACAATATGAATAACAAAGTAAGACTTTTGATATTGAGTACTCTACATGTACTGACTGACTCTTTAAATATTTTTCGATATAGATAGAATCTCTATTTTTGTTTCTTCATTAACAAAGAAATACAAGGAATGATACATGACGTATGATAAATTTTTATACGTCACAATTTAGTTTTGTTTACTAAATAATGATTGACGTTGACATAATTTAAATTATTTGCATGCAATTTTTATGTGTCACGTGTATTAGTATAACTGTATATCAGTATTTATCAAAAATATTTGATTCATAATATATTTTATGTTTTACTTTTAGAAATACATGCCAAGATGATCTCAAACTTGAACTGTCACAGAAAAGTTCATGCCAAAATGTACAATATAAATTAATATAATATTTAATGATGAGAAAAAATAACGTAGAAATGGTTTGTCTTTTCAAAATAATTCAATCTATTAATTTTGACTAGTCTTGATAAATGAAAATAAAACAGTTTAATAACTGATTTTTAAATAATCATAAGGAAATGTTTGATTCTGAGCTGATTTTTTCTCTTCTTATTTAATAATATTTCATTAACATATTTGAGATGAATGCACTACACACAATATAATGCGCTATATAAATTTGATCTATATACTTTCGTTCGTTACTTTCATACACTCGAACTACTATACATGATTTAATTGCTAACTGATGCATGTGATTAATTGACAAAATATTTTCAGTTATATATTTTTGTTTACTTTAAATAATAGTTATATAATATTGATTCTCATACATTGCATGAAATTTATATCGTAATTATTGTAGGAAAAATATGACATCCATGGTTTATGAAATTATCTCTTTAGTGCATCGTCTGTATATGTAGACAAAACGTATCATTCACTAAAGATTTTATCGATTATCACTATCATTCACTTCCTCTATAGTCAATAATATTTTCATAGATAGTTCTGGTTAGATTTCAATGGTATAATGTAACACTTAGCAGTATACAGTCAATCTTATCAATAAACTAAAATATTGCGAAAACATGTGTGTTACTATCTTGTCTAATAAAATACATTTCAATAGAATTCGATTGAACAAATTCAAATTTTTAATTCTAATAAACAAGAGAAAATAATGTATGAAGTCATTCAAGACATTTATGATTGTACTATCTTAATATCATCTGAAAATCGTTTGTTTTTTTTTTATTGAAATAAAACAAGTGAAAGCAAAATATTTTTTAACTGAGATTGTCTATACTAATCGTAGCAAATTTACTTAAAGTAATGTACATCGATCATAAATATTTTCATTGACATAGTCTGAATATTTCCATACTAAAATATATCTCTTTTGTATTGTACCATTCATCTAAGAACAAGTCAAAATGTATAGATTGTTCTTTGATATGACACGCTGTTGATAGTTTAGATATTTATGTTTTATTATGATAAATGTAGTAATAATCGTTTTTGTTTTATTGTTGTTGATAGACTAAAGAATAAAAGTAATTTACATGAATAATGAAATATAAGAAATAGATTTATTCTGAGGTCTTCATAAAACATTGAATAGGATGTATCTATTGCATTCGAAAATACTTTTTTTAATTGTCAAATTATATTTCAAAACCAGTATTGAAAAATGAAAGAAGCTACAACAATCTCAAATGTAAGCATTACCTGTATGTTGAGAATAAATTGTGTTATAATTCAAACTATCATTCGCTCATCTTTTCTATTAGTTATATATGATGACTAATTATACATAATGATTGATTGCATCTTTCAAAGTCTTGTCAACATACTCATTTAATGATATCATTTAGTATTATTTTCACTGTTTTTTTTATACAAAATACGTCTATCATCAACAAACAATTCATTGCTTTCTAAATATAGTTAATCGTAAATATCAAAAGTGTTTTTATTTTATTCATATTGAAATTTTTGTTTTCATCGAAATTTTTCTTTTATCTCATGTTACTATCAATTATATATATGTATTGAATAAATATTACTATTGATAAAAAACCTTCAAAAATCGACTAAATACAGCAAGAAAATTTTTTATTGACGTAATTATAATATTTTCACTCTCATCATTTACATATTGGTAATTTACTTTCTGTCCAATATAGTCACCGACCATCTATATCTTGATATGTTTCATACTACCTCTCTCTCTCTTGTCACTCTGAATAACTTTGCATGTGATTCAGTAGTTTATTAAATATATGTTTTGATGACAGTGTAAGCTAATAATCTTTTTTTATGTTTTTTTCTCTCTGCATGCATATTATACTCTTATTTATCGTTATCTCTGACCAATTCGATGAAAGTTTACCTTTTTCTAGTCTCTTTCTTTCTCAAGGACGAAGTGAATACATGTATTAACAAGTATATTGATTGATGTTCCACCTGAATGATTACATGTTTTTCGTTCTTACATAAGGGTATTTAATTATATATATCACCTTTTCCTAACCGCACCACTATTGATATATCGTTAGTCGAAAATAAATATATCAGAAGAACAAACTTTATTATACGTTTATTTGTGTGAATAACATCAGAAATCATGTACGTAACAACCAAAGTCGAATATGGTGTACCAAGTTATGGACAAACTATCCGTGGTCAACCAGAAATAATTGTTCAAGTTCCATGGACACAACAATTTGCTCAAGCTTATGAACAATTTGTTAATGGTGGTTATGCTGCTAATCAACAAATTGGTGGTGGATATGGAATTGGCGGTCAATCATTTGGTGGCCAATCATTTGGTGGTCAACCATTTGGTGGTCAATCATTTGGTGGCGGATACGGAATTGGTGGTGGTTCATCATTTGGTGGCCAACAAATTGGTGGTGGATATGGAATAGGAGCTCAACGCGGTAGCCTCGGTGGTTATGGAGGAGGTTTTCCTCAAAGTGGTGGTTACGGAGGAGGTTTTCCTCAAAGTGGTGGTTATGGAGGAGGTTTTCCTCAAAGTGGTGGTTACGGAGGTAGTTTTCATCAAGGCGGTGGACTTGGTGGTTATGGTCAACAAATCCAAGGTACTCCAATTGGATTTGGTATGACAACTAGTTAATTGAACTAGAACCAATTTTTTTTTTGTATTAGAAATAATGATTTAACGTCATTGTGGATTATTTTAGTGAGAGAGAGACATTTATTTATAAAGAAACATATTGTTTCTTTTATTTTTTTTTTTCATGTTTGTGACAATATTATAATAAAAGGAATTTCATATGTATTTAGTTGATAATTTGTATTTGAAAAGCAAATTAGGTCTTGATGAGCAATTATTGGTAATTATGAATTTGTTTTTTGTACGATACTTTTACAAACACTAACTATCTAATAACCAAGAACTATACATATTTGTTTAATAATGTTATTTGAAACCTATTAGTGAATCAAAAAAGTCTAACATGACTACAATATAATATCGTAAAAGTACATATCATGCCTACAGTTAACTTCACGGTAAATTTACAAGAAATAATGTCGTCACATATTATAAAATGTGACTGACAGATATTTACTGATTACACAGAAAAATATGCTGTTTCTCACATAAATTTGAATAAACTAATATTTTATGATAAAGATCGATTACAAAAACAAAATAAAAAAAAAAGTATGATTCTTGCATACATCGTGTTCTGTTAATATTACTGAACGTGCTCATTAGAAGTTGACGTCACTGTATGTTGCTATCTAATTTTATATAAAATAATCATTCTTGTAATATTTTATAAAAAAATAACAATGCGAACATATTACATCTTTCTTTCAATCAGTATGTTACTTGTATCGATACAATACTCAAATTGTGCTCGTAAGAATTTATTTTTGAAAATCTTTTTCATTAATATTATTATATTATTTATTTCTAGCAAGGAAAATTCGATCATTAGATAATGATAAATTTAATAGTATTGTTGAGAACTTTGTTGATAATTTAAAATCTTTTATTCATGATGATAATACAATAAGTGACAATAATGAATTAAGTGAACAGAGACAGAAAGTTATTGATGCATTGGATATTATATCAAAATCAAAAGAATCAAACAGTGATAGTGACGAACAAGAAAATCTTGATAAACAAGAGATTGTATCAAATTACATCGATATTGATCATCATAATGTTCCAGAAAATAGTGAAGAAAACTAGTTAAATATTATTTCAATATATCAGACATTAATTTCTCCATACTGCTTGATTATAATTATAGTTGTGCTGCGTTTTCGAACAAGAATAAAATATAAATAAAGTTGTTTCGATTCTTTTGATTTCGTCTATTAAAGAGAACAATTTGTAGACGTACTTTTTTTGTTGTTGTTGAATAAATATTCATAATATACGAATTATTCATTTACATTGAAATTGAACGTTGAAAAGTTTAATTTTAATGTATGAAGGTCGGACATGACGAGATGGCCGAGCGGTTAAGGCGTTAGACTGCTAATCTAATGGGCTCTGCCCGCGTGAGTTCGAATCTCACTCTCGTCGCCACTTTTTTTTTCTTCGGATTCTGAACGACTCTTTGGGTCTTACATGTTCTAGCAGATAGAAATAGTTTTTCATAATTTTTATCTCTGTTTGCGGTATAAATTGTTTAAATGAAGGAATATCAAAGTAAAAATTTTAATAATTTCCAAAAATGAGTATTTTTTATATAGTTTTAGCATTCATTTTACAAATAAATGGAAAGAATGAAAGACTAAGAATAAGAGATCAATTGAAAGAGTAAATTTACTCATTCATCTTACTTTTATTTAGTAAAATTTAACTTTGAATAATTTTAAAATATTTGCACGAACCTTAAATATTTTTTATTTCATTTCAAAAACAACTATTTATATATAAAATTTATTTGATACAATGGCAAGATTTTGAATCTATGCGTTTCATAATATATTACTGTTTTTTTTAGTAAAGAAATAGAAATAATCAATTAACTTTGATTAATTCTTACAATTAAATAATATTACGTAAATTATAAAAAAAAAAGTAACGTTAGTATAATTACTTGTATATGAAGCTGTTCTGAAATGTTCTTCACAAGGACACAGCTGTATTTCACTTAAAATATTCTCATTTATTATTTAAAGATTGATATACAATATTACAATTGTATAACGATAATGATTTATAGATGAACGATTATTATAAAACAAGACAAAAATTATTATGCTACTTTATTCAAGTAACGAATTTAAAAAAGAATATAATTTTATTAATATTTTTGAAATGAACTTTTATTTATATCTAAAGCAACTATTTTTCAACATATTACATCATAATTGCATTCATGACTTGATCGATTTTTAATATTTTCTTCATAGCATACTGCGTCATAAGATTACTATCGAAGGAAAAGGCCAGACTGTATAATTTTTTTGTCATTATTGATGAATAATTTGACTGCAATATTGACTTTTGATCTTTATAGATATTAGATAACATGAACAGAAATGATTATTTTCTTATTTCATATTATTAATAGAGATCTATCATGAATTCAATTTTTTTTCGATAATTATTAGTATAAATAAACAAAATAGAGTTTTTGATTATCTAGAAATGATAAACAAAGTATGTTTTATCACATGTTCTTAGATTAAATAAAAATATGCGAGCTATAAAGCTGTTATTTATATTGACCTTGTAAAAGAATGATTGTTGATTAATGAAATTCAATGTTTAAACTTATTTATTCTATCGTGCTCTATAAGTAAATCTGAATTAATATCATATCATAATATTATATTAATATTCAAGAATATAGATGTATAATATTTAATTGCACCTACACATATAGAAATGAATACACTTAATTTTTGTCCAAAAAGATTATATTTTCTTAGATTGTTTTTTCTTCTGTTTGTAACATGACATTATCCTTTCATTATAGTTTTTTGGTGTAGCTCACGTTATACATATTCTACAAATATTTCCATGTATACACTATTAGTTAAAAAAAACTAACTGATTACGCAGTGTATATTTCACATATGAGGAATCGGTCATCTTGATTTTGCCGTATATCGTGAAAACCTCACCTATATTCTCTTGAAATGTCTTATATTGCACTGTAATCTAGAAAGATATATATGATCGTTTCAGTTTTATAAGTGAGACAAAGTTACAACTTATAGAATAAAAAATATTCTTGGTGAATAAGTACCTTCTACTTTATTTCATTTATACATATTGTTATGAAAAATCTGTTTCTACATCGCGTACTTTATCGACTGATAAGTTTATCAATAGTTAGTATCTAATCTGCAATATCAAATAAAAGGCTTGAATGGTTAAAAAAAATATTAAAATAACATTCAAAGTTTATTGTTTGTTATTTCTTTAAAGAAGTCCTTGGTGTCATATTGGGACTTCACTTGTTCATAATAGTACTCATGAGCAACGTGTCCCGACGAGATGGCCGAGCGGTTAAGGCGTTAGACTGCTAATCTAATGGGCTCTGCCCGCGTGAGTTCGAATCTCACTCTCGTCGCCACTTTTTTTTCCATATCTTCATATGCTACATGCTCAATGCTTTTCAAAAAAGAAACTTATATATATTATTCTTACTCAACCTCACTACCTCTGCTAACTATGTCGCTAGTGTTCTCTTTTTACTAAAATAGATTCTTCCAAATAATAGATGTCATAGTTGTCAAAACTATTTGTTAGTAAAGTTTTATTTTTATTAATGTAAGAGCTAGATCTAAGGAGTAGATACTTAATTCGAGTTCAGATATTCAATGGACATTCAAAAAAACTAAAAACTATTATATTTTTGAGGGAATAGGTTTAGTTTTTCAGTAATTTCAATAAGAAAAAGCAGCAAGCTAAAGAAATCTAGATCCTCTTTCATCTTACCAAAGAGAGAGATATTATCTCCCCTCACCCACATGCAGATCGCCCGTGACACGTATCTTGATCCCCCCCCTCATCCTCATCTTGATTCCTCTCACCCTCGTCTTGAGACCCTCTCGCCCACATCTTGACTGTTCTTCCCTCTACAGATCGAGAGAGAAACTCACACCCACGTCTATATCCTTAATGGGGCGCTTCAGATCTACAGAGTTATGTCACTCTTTCATTTCCGGCTCTCTAACAAACTACCAGCAAAATCTCACAGGAGCTAGTCAATAAACTTCATAAATGAAAAACAAACTTTCGTATATGTTTTTCTTTTCAAGAGTACTGTACTCGAATATGGATTAATTTCTACATAAGAGTTAACCAGCTACTCTTACACATCTGTAAATCTCATGATGCATTCTAATCTTCAATGAGAACATACTGAAGTAACACTCTGAAATTTTATATTTCTTGTAAAAAGATTGCTCTTCAAGATTTATTCTGTCTCTAAAGAAATTCTTGATGTGATTATGGCTGACCATTTTCTCAATAGTACTCATGAGTAACTTGTCTCGACGAGATGGCCGAGCGGTTAAGGCGTTAGACTGCTAATCTAATGGGCTCTGCCCGCGTGAGTTCGAATCTCACTCTCGTCGCCACTTTTTTTTCATGCCTTCATATATCATATGCTCAATACTCTTGAAGGAAGAAAAACTATATAACAACCCCACCATGCCTCGTGAAAACAGAACAAGTTCAATTGTATTGCACAGAAGCGTCATCTATTTTATCTTGAGTAGTTTGATACCGTACTATATTCTAGCATGTGTATATGTGATAGTGTTAGTTTTAACAGTAAGACAAAGCTCCAAGTTATAGAAAAATAAAATTCTAAGTGAACAAGTTGCTCCTATTCTGTTTCACTTATACACATTGTCATGAAAAATCTATTCATACGTCGCGTACTTTATCGACTGGTAACGTTTTTGATAATTGATATCTTTTCTGAACAAGTCATTGTTTAACATACGGCTGAAGAAAATACATAATGTATGAATAATATGGACATTGACAACGTTTTTACTGTTTCAGAATATCAAATGATTTATGGACCAAATTCTATTCAACACTCAGTTTTTCATTAACTATCTTGAGAAGTATTATTGACTATACTGGAATAAAAGAAATACCCAAATCAGATATAACGACCGTATACAATGTGAGAACGGCTGAAAACGACTATGATTATAATGACCTTTTGCGATAAATGATGACTGGTCAATATGGTCGCTACGGCAATCGTTTTTTGCTATTATTGAGCCTTATCCCTTGGATTTAGAAAATCGTTGTTTGTGTTATATAAAATAAATTAAAGCCTCTTATTATCGCTCCTTTTTGTAAGTTACCAAATGTGGATTCATCCCAACATGGCATTGAATAGCAAGTCCTTACTTTGCAATGTTAAATAAACATATAAGTAAATGAATAGTCAGATATCAATAATTTCTATGTTATTGTTTTTTATTATGTGCTGAAAATGGACTAGTGATCAGTCCGAAATATTCACAAGTTGTTTTAAATTTTAAATTTAAGTCAAATGAACTTTTAAACGAATACGAAGCAATATTTAGTATCATAAAACCAGAAAAATAACACTGTGAATACAGTCGTAAACGTCTGCAACTGATGTCTTTCAAACACCAAATGGAAATAAAACGGTATTAATACGACTTATTGTTATTCTACGGAAACAGTATGAAGTGGAGCCGTTTCCGTTTCGTCGAAAAAGGGCCAAAGTCGGCACTTGGTTTTAGCCATTCCAGATAGTCTAAATGATGAACCTGGATATACATTATTTTGTTACGAATATCTATGGGAAATAGAGTCAATGCTGTGGCAACAAAACTGTAACGTGCACGATAACGCTAGCCATGAAGAGACAAAGGAACATATCCAGGATCAAGAAAAACTCAACATTTATATCTGGTCCTATTGGGGCCTTGTATCATTATTAACTATCATTAGTCTGTTTACAATAATCGGATGTACATATGTGTATTGCACAGTATCTCCCATAACCAAAGTAGCAAGAAAAATAAATCAGATGAAAAATATGTGTTTGAAACAAAATGTAGTTTATAATTCTATGTATTTGTTTTTCTTGTTATTGTACAATGGAATTAGATAATTCTACTTATTTATTTGTTTGATTATTTTTCTTGATCTTATTTAATAAAGATTGAAATTTCATAAGTAATTCTCAATTATTATGTCGAATCTAAGCTTTTTATAGTAGATTTATGTATAAAACACCTTTTCTGCTTTTTGGTGGTGAAATTTCTGTCGTTTTCTGCTTTTTATAATTTTTTTCTGCTTTTTGGGCTTCAAAAGGTGGCAACACTGGATGTCAACCACCATATAATGCTCAATTCGCTAAAGACCCGACAATGCAGTGGAAAGAAAGAGAACAACTAACCACAAATGGTGATAGAAATAATATCCAAGGATAATACATAAATTCCCACACAAAGAAACAGATAACTAAGCACATGTTAAATTACTCATTACACTAGTAGCGGCACACTCTCACTTCAAGCACAGTATACAAGTGTTCTTTTCTAGGCTGTTTATCAATTGTATTCTTTTTCTTTTTAATACCGGTCAATAATTTGTTGGTTATCTATCGAAATTAGTATATCAGCAACTGCAGCACTTTTTACATTGTAATACGCTTAATGGCTTCAAGTATGGTACTCGAATTTAGTTAGAAGAAGTTTGAATTCATCTAACTGCATTCTAATATTTGATTATTTAAAAGTGCCATGTTCCATTCTGATATTCAATATCAAAAAAAGGCTTAAGTAATTGAAATAATATTTAAAATTTGTTGTTTGTTATTTATCTAAAGTAATCCTTGAGGCGATTATGACTGGCCATGTTTTCAATAGTACTCATGAACAACCTGTCTCGACGAGATGGCCGAGCGGTTAAGGCGTTAGACTGCTAATCTAATGGGCTCTGCCCGCGTGAGTTCGAATCTCACTCTCGTCGCCACTTTTTTTTCATATCGTCATATGCTATATGCTCAATGCTTTTAAAGAAAAGAAACTTATATATATTATTCTTACTCAACCTCAGTACCTCTGCTAACTATCTCGCTAGTGTTTGTTCTCTTTTTTCTAAAATAGATTCTTCCAAATAATAGATGTCATAGTTGTCAAAACTATTTGTTAGTAAAGTTTTATTTCTATCAATGAAATAGCTATATCCAAGACAAAAATAAAATTAAGAAAATAAATATGGTAACATTGAAATACAATAGAACGATTATTAGTGCTAATTGAAATGTTAGATTCTACACATAATTAGTATTTTGATGAATATTACAGATTTATTGATGAAAACGGATCATTCTACATTGGTTCCAAAGACTTTAGTTATACAAACAATGTCATATTGATTGAGAATGTTTATCTCTAATATGGAAAATGTACTTTTCTTTTGAAATCTATAGTTTCTTAGTTGATAAATGATGAAATTGAAATATTCTATAGAATATAGATTTTATAAAATTAATACATTTAAAATTAATTTAAATAATTCAATATTCAGTGATGATAGTTGAGAATTATATAGATAAACACCTATAGTTATGAGAAATATAAAATAAATCTATCACATATTATTTAGTTTGAGTTGTTTTTGGTATAAACGAATGCATAGACATAGAAGTATAATGAGATTAAATGAATGTTGACAATTATAGTGATCATAAGAAACTATATAGATTTGAATAGATAGATGGAAAGTTCATTGAATTAAAATATGATTGATTTTTAACGGTGAAAGCAATAGAACAGTATCATAATACGATGAAGAAAATAGTAAGATATACAATTGGCATAAAACAAAGTACATTTTTCAATTAAATTAAGATGACTTTCAGAAAAGTTTTTTTTATGAGTCGAATGGTTTCAAAAAGTCAGAAGATGGAGTGGGATATTTGTTTCGTCCCACCTATCCTACTTAATGCTCCGATATGCATTAAAAAATGTGTTAGAATGTGAAGAAAAAAACATTTTCTTCGTTTTTCATCATCTATCATATGACTATCTAGAAATGGTATAACGTCCAACGTTCGTCGAATTTGAAGAAAAATCGTTATACAAGTAGGACGGACAGAAAAAGAATAAACTTGATCTGTTCTTTATATATAAGCTGTATAAATACATAAGCGTTAATCACATTTATTCATATTCTGTCGTCGTCTACAACTTAATTTCAAATGATGCATACATTTTTGATCGTTATTATTATCTGTAGTTGTTTTGGTTTTATTTCAACGTCTACTATTGATTCAGACTTGACTGATATTATCAATATTGAACAAGATTTTAAAAAATATTCACCTGAAATAGCTCGTAATTTTACACAAACAACATGTCAAATGATATCTAAATGTTGTCCTCAAATACAATCGAAATTTATATCGATGGCTTTATTAGGTGATACAAAAGGTATAACTGATCAATGTTTTGATTTAAAAGGGTCACCTAATTCACTTTTAAATATTATTTCATGTTCACCATTGTTTCAATTAACTACAATGATCACAAATCCTGATTTATTAAAATATATATCATTGATTTCAAAAAATTCAAATCAAGATAAAGAAGATATGAAAACTATACTTAATGTATGCTCTGAAACAGAAGTTTATTCAATTGCATGTAATTGGAATGATTCTGATCAACAAAGTACATGTCAAAGAAAAGTACTTGAAAAATGGGCTGGACAAGGTGATAAATTTTATACAGATAAAGTTCAACAAAAGAAACAAGATTATATTAAACTTATTGATATATTAAAAAAAGAATTCCATAATTAATCATTTTTTGTCATTAATTTTTTGTGTGTTCTATGTTAAAATGAAATAAAAATAAATCGTATGAAAATAACGATAATAGTTATGAAAAATTGTAGCTATTTTTTTGAAATAAATAAATTATGAAATATTTCGTAAAGGTCTACAGATTATTGTCTACTGGTGTGAATTATGTATTGACGCAAACAGAAATCACGTGTATCAATGAAGAGAGCCAAAGTATGTGAAGGAGATTTACTATCGCGTAGCACATATTACTCGAATTATTTAAGAAAACATAAATAAAAGTATGATTGATCTCGTATAAAATTATTGAAAAAATTATTAAATACATCTAATATACTGGTTGTATCCAGTTTAGATAGATTCTATACTTCAGTCTATGATAAAATATGACATTATGTCCTTGATGGGTGCAAATATATAATAGAAAAATGTCAATTCTTTCGCATATCCAAAAATAAACTATTTTGTTTTGTAAACATTTAGTTTCGCTTAATTATATCGATATGAATAAATATCACAATAATATTCAGCAGGAGAGTAGTTAGTGTACAGTATGATTGATGGTTTTTGATCGCGATCACGAATTTTTCATGATTATAATTAGCAGTGTTGCATGACATATAAAAATAGAATAGAGATACATCATTAGTCAAACGTACCATCTTTCCGATGTTTTTTTGTTAAATAAAGTTGATAATATTTTTTTGTTGATACCCGCAAAAGTACCTTGAAAGTATAGTAAACTGTAACTTATGTTTACTTTTCGAATAAGTATCACCGATCCTACTACATTTAATAAAAAAAGATTCAAAACGACTTACTAAAAAGAAAATATATAATGATATCCTATAAGAAATTAAAATAAACAAAAATTTCGATTTATCTGACTAACAAACAAAAAATCCATTGCCGTTAGAGCTCGTTATTGAATCACACAAAAACAAAAGCGCTCGAACATCTATTCCTTACAAGGATTAGATTTTATTTAAAAATAACATACCAAGTATTAGATAATACTTTTAATTTAAATATGAACATTAAAATTTTGAATAAATTCTTAAAATTTTTGACGTACATATTACAATTGTAAAAATTAAATTTTATAATTTCAATCACGATCACGTATGATCGTGATTAACAGAATACACTAAAATTAGTTCTTTTCTAAATATAGTTCTTGTAATCTATATCATTGTATATTTTTCGAGTCATCTTTTTAATTAATATACATAAAAAGAACACATCATTTTATAAAATTTTCTTAAGTAAATATTGATTCTCCTTGTCTATGTATTAAATTAGGATTTGATGTAACACGTGCCATTATAACAAGTATATCATCTGGTTTAATATAGAATCGTACAGCGTGTGTAACTAATTCACTAGCAGCATGTTTTAATGAGCTAGTCTAGAAAATTAGAAAAACAAAAATAATATGATAAAAAAATGAATTTATATTAAATTTACTCGAGCAAGAATTTGTTCAATTTGAAAATCAGAAACATTATCAAATAAACCATCCGTGGATAGAATAATTACATCATTCAATTCCAAATCAAATGTTTGACAAATAGCATCAAAAATTCTAAATAAATAAATAAATATAATATAATTAATTTTGTTTTTTATCTATTGTTTATATTTAATTATTAATATCGATTAAAATAGATATTTTTATATTAAATACGAGTAGATAATAAAAACAATATTTCCTCTTATGATAAATAGACAAGGTCAAAAGATAAAATTATATAGTAATTTGACAGAACATACGATATTTGCGTGTAATTAAGACCTTGTCCCTTCAATGATGCGGTCCATGGATAAACATCTAATTGTCTTGGACAATCACCATTCATTTCTTGTGACTGTGATCGATAAACAACATAACCTTGTCGTACAATAACATAACCAGAATCACCAATATTAACTGAATGAAGTTGACCCAATTGACAATCGATTCCAAGAATACATGCTGTTGCACTACCTTTTTGAAAAAGTTTTTGTTAATTTCATGAGAATAAATAAATCGAGAAGAAAAAAAAAACAATACAAACATACCAAAACAGTTTTCCATTTGAACACGATCAAATGCATGAGATAAAAGACGTTTTGGTTCAGATATCGAATATTTTCCTGTAAGAGCTAAATCGGAACAATTACGCATTAAAGATTCCGAAAAAAGACGAGGATCATAACCATACATTAAATTACCACCAGCACCATCAGAAATTCCTAAATAGATTTTATAGAATATGTTGCTTACTAATTTCTAAAATTTACCTAAAAATTTATGTTGTGTATTTTGCATCGTGAATCCAGCATCATCACCGAAAAGACCATCAATTAAAGAAAAATTTTCACAGGGAACAGGCAATTGTGTATTCTTTTGCATACCACATGTGGCAACCTCCAAAGAAAATGTACTCGAATAATCAGGAGATAAGTTTTTTATCGGTTCGTCATCGATATGTTTGAAATGCGGTTGATGGTGATAAGGATGATGATGATATTGCTGATGTCGATTATGATTATGATTATGACTGTGATGATGATGATATCGATAGTTATTAGTTACTGGTTGAGCAACTTTCTCTAATATCTTATGTACATAAAAATCCAGGGACATATTATCTTGATCATATTGGTCGATATCTGCATCGTCTGATATTGAACGGGCTTGTTGATGAAGATAAGATTCAAGATTCGTTATATCAATATCAGATAATGAATAAAAATTTTTATCAAAATTTGATGGCTTGCCAGTAATATAAGTTACACCATCCATGATTAATTTGAAAAAAAAACCTTTATGTAATGATAATATTTGACCTTCACATTAAGTATTCTATCATATAAAAGAATGTTTTTGCACTGGATTCACGAAAACGTTTAATGCTAATATTTTTTTGTATATACTACTTAGTTAATACTCATGAATAAGAAAAAAGTAGATAGTAGATATGTACAGTGGAACCATTCGAGCGAAACAGTGAAAAAATTACTCTGTTGTTCCTTTTTTTCCTCGATTTTTTTTCATGTTCTATAGTCAATGTTTTGCATTTGATATTATTTGTCACACAAAAATAGTAGACATACAAGGACATATATTTTTCAATACAATCAAAGATACAAACAAATAGAATAAATTGATTCATTTAGTAATTAGAAAAGGTACCACTTTCAAAAGAAAAAACGACAGATGTTTATTTTCTAGGCAATATAAAAATAGAACATTTTTTTAACCCTTTTTCGCCCCATGATATTTATATACTATTTTGTCGAACCATCGTTCTCTTGAAACTAATTTTGTATAGCATATTATGAAAATTCGTGAGTAATAGTCTTTTTTAATATATAATAAACTTTACTAAACATGTATTCGAAATCATTAAACTTTAGCCATGCGTAAAAATAGATTTAAGATGTGAGAGTATTCAACCAAAGACAATGATCATGATGACATGTCATCCACATTGATTGTTCGAAGAGAGGACATTTGATTTCAGATTTCCTAAAAGAAAGAAATATTGTATTAGCATTTGTTGATTTTGAAAATACAAACTTTACCTTTTTGCTAATACGTTTTTATCTAATATTTTAATAATACATAAACGATCAGCTACTTTAAGTAATAAATAATCATTTAAAATTCCAATAAATGGATGTAAATCTTTATGAATAAATAATTTTACTATTTGTTGACCATTTGAAACACGATACATTCGTAGTAAACGATCGGAACAAATAATAAAAAGATATTGATCATATTCTTTATTATTATTCGTTAATTCAATTGCTTCACATTGTCCAGCATTATCATCTAAGAGAATTATTTTACGTAGTTTTTCTTTTAGATCATGTAATATAATTGTTTTATTATCGGTGCATACGAGAACAAGTTGATTATGTTTTGCTATTAAATACGAAGCTGTTTCTAATTGCTTTAATGGTTCATTTCCTTTGCACCAAACATAAACTTGATTGTCTTCATTATGAAAGACAAGATAATTATATATTGAATGTATTTGAATAATTCTACTTGAATTTAAAGGACTAAATGGTATAACTGTTAAATGTCGATTGTTTATATTAAATTCTACAAGAGTTTTTTCATCTTTTGATAGGACATATAATCGATTATCAGAGGTTATTATACTTAATAGACAGTCAATAGATAATTGTGTAAGACATTCTATTACAAATGATTTTGTATCGATTTGAAATATTTGTTTTGTTTGTAAACAAATAAGTATAAACGATGATTGAAGTGAATGTATTTGTAGTTTTCTATGTTCAAACTCATTTGTAGTCCATAATAATTTAAATGATTTTAATGAATAAATTGATAGAATATTTTTTCTACTAACAAGTAAAATATGTGATGACATTGTTGTAAAATGATATTGTCGAATTGAATGAATTGAAAGATGTAAATCAAAAGTACTAGTATTCGCATTTAATGTTAAAACATTAAAATAACTAGAAAAAAAATTTATTTTATATTTAAAATAATAATATTGAATTTTAAGAATATGTCAAGTAATCCGGGAAACTAAAATCGGGAATATCAGAAATTAAAAAAATAAAAAATCTGGAAAGGTTTTGTAGTGTTGATGTAGGAGAAGAGTAGTGCATACCTATATATCCGCATCCATATCCTTAACACCCCCTTCTACAACTATGACATCAATCGTACCGAGCTTCTCGAAAGATTCTTACTTCTGATGGCTTCAAAAGAAATAAGCTCATCAGATTGTCTCTAATATTTCTACACCTTTTACTTATTACATCTACTATCATTAATAAACTTCGAATAAAATTTTTCCGGATTACTTGACATCGCAAATTTTAATACTTACTGATTATTGTCAGTAAATGTCAAAAATTGATCTAAATATATATTTGGCATGTTATGAATTTTTTGAGATAGAACAAGAGATTTCGATGCAGTCAGATAAGTTATCATAGTAGCATTGTATTTATAAATATTATTTTTATCTGAACAATATAGTGTAATACCATCAAACCAACCTTTTATAAAAGATATTTTTATAGTTTATTACATAGGAGGGAACTTCTATACCTGCTGTAAAAACACATTGATCAATATGTATATCGAGTTGAATATGAGTTAATTGTCGATAATGATGTCTTTGTTCATCTTTTTCATAACGCCATTCATAGATATCAATAAAAATTTTTGTTTTATTAATACAGGCTAAAAACCAGCTTTGACCTTCAAATTCTAATGAAGAATAATGATCATGTACTACATCATATTCAATCGAATCCGTTGATGATAGGATATTAAATGGTTGAAAATTGTTTTCTTTATATAATGGATGAAATATTAGAAGAGATGTTGATGTTAACCATGCAATTGATTTACTTTGTGAAAGATAAATAACAGATAAAGGTAAAGAATGAAAATCAATATTATGAATAATTTCTTTTGTATTCATTTCATGATAGATAATTAATGAAGCTTTTGAATTATCGAATGAATAATAAAATTCACAATTAGAATCAAGAAGAATATGATGAGTATAATTTCGAATATTTTCATTACATATTCGAATTGTTTGAAATTGTAATTGTTCATCAATTGAAAAATAAGAAATCATTTGATTTTGTTTTAATATGACTTCAATAATTGGTTTTTGATAAACACATTGTTCAATAAAATTATCCGTAAATTCATAATTTGATAATAAAATATTAGTTGAACAATTCCATAGTTCTAATGTATCATTTGATAATGATACAATTAAAATTATTTCATTACCAATAAATGATATTAGTTTCCGACATGAAGTTTGCATCGTTATTTGTTTTGTTTGACAATTTATTGTTACCATTGAGAAATTCGATGAAAGACAACATACATATGGATATTGACATAAAAATGAAATTAATTTTTCTTTTCCACTTTTTTTCTTATATGTTATATCAAAATTACCCGTACAAAAGAAACTATAATAATGATATGAAAATAAATATAATTTATCATCGCTAGTTAATACAAATATACGATGTGCATCAATTGTTAAACATGTTATATTTAATAATAAAGTTTTAGCTAGACATTGTTGTCGTTCATTATCTGTTATTAATTGAAGAGGACAGTGAAATAAACATTGTTCAAGTAAATTATATGTTAATTCAGGTAATTGTTTTGCATATGGAAATAAATGATAGATTAATTCAAATGATAAATTATTTGGATATTGATTTAATATATTTAATGATGTTTCAAATTGTTTTAAAATAAATCGTAATTCACCATTTGGATCATGTGCACCAATTGAAAATTCATATAATAAATTAAACATTTGATATTCTCCACATAAAAGATATGCACATAAAAAATCATAGTTAAATATAGTTAAATCATGAACAAAATCGTAGCGATTAATATTTATGTATAGTTGATGAAGACGTCGAAGATTATATTGGTTATTATTCTTATCTTTTAAAGGTCTTTGTTCAGTTAGACAACGATTAACAGATATAGTTGCTGTTGGTAAATTATATTTTTTTATTAATTTTGATGAATAATTCATATCAAATGTTGATTTATATTGATTAGAAAAATAGGAAAGACGATTTTTTTCTAATATTAATTTTTCTTGATTATCGATTATTAGTTGTTTAACATCCATAGGTTGATAATATTGAAAACTTCGATGATAACTATAACATAAAATGTAATGTAATTAATACGTTAGTTCATTGAAAATCATATCTCTAATCATGCATTGATTGGCTTTAACAATGCACTAGAAATTATATTTCTAGACATAAAGAATAAGTATCTCCTCGATGGTCATACTACAATACGACAAGAGGTAGTACGATCGATCTCTCAAGCGCATCTGCAATTACCTATCAATCTAATTCATTTAAGTATCAGTACAGGTTTTAGAGCAAACGAGCTATTCGTAGGTAAAACTTAACTGGAGAAAGTTTTTCGCCGAAAACTCTACCTCCGAGTTTTAACTTACTATTTCGGATTGGTCAAATATATACTTTCGACTATGCTGAGTCGATCGACCGTGCTTAAGAACAAAAGTGTGAAGTTACAAGCTGCAATTTATTGAAAAACTAGAAATTCGTAAACTCCAAATTTGGAGCCCACTTTTCTCGACTCTTAATACTATGATGCATCTACTAATAAACTGGTATACCAAAGTAATCTGGTAAAATCTTTCTAACTTACAAATAAATGCATGGTACATTATCAATATCTTTTTCTATTAAATATTTATGCATATCATTTCTAATACGAATCCATAGATTCGATGGTAATCGAAATAGTCCCAATGGTGGTAAATAATGAACGAAAACAGATTGTAGAACATCATCATCTAATGAAAGAATATCTTCGATTTCAAGTTCACTTAATCCACCAGATAATTGAATATAACGCATTGAACGTCGAAATAATACTTGACCATGTTTAATACCTAATTGATTATATAAATATCCAATAGCATGATTTGTATTTTTTATAGCTAAAAATGCTTTATCAGGAATTTGATCATATGAATGCCATGTTAATGTTTGATCATAAAGTAATGAAATAAAAAGTGGAGTTATATAGTGACGTATAGAAAATTTTGGTTTAAGCCATTCATGTTGTATTGTTGTTAAACAACGTCGATCTTGTTCAAGCCAAGAATGTAGAACTTGTTCAACAGTATTTTCATCAAATGTTTTTACTTCAATTTCTATTAAATTATTTTTATAAATAGTTTGTAATTGTGTATGAATATGAATTGTTTCTCTTTCAATTTCGATTTCTGGAATTGTTGAAAATATACATTTAACATTCGATGATAAAAAACTTTCTGGTAACCATTTTGATAAATTTTTTAAATCAACTAATTGAAGTTGATCAATGGAGTCGAGAAGTAGAATAAGATATTCATCTTTTGGAATTTGTAATAAAATATTTTCAAGAATTTCCTTGACATTATCGAAATTTGATGGTACATTCAAATGATAAAGTATACAAATCTGTTCAATAATTGATATTAATGGACGACGGATATCACTTGAAGATGGAGTTGCACCCAAAAAACGTATAATAACAGATACAGAATTAGCTTGTGAATACCAAGTTGGAATCTATACAAATTGATTGAATTAGGGTGTGGGTGGGTGGGTGGTGTGTATGTGGATGTGGGGTTACAATACGCTACTCACACCCAATACACCCACACCCACCCACACCCACCCACACCCAAATCTGATAAAACCACTATTCAGTTCTTGTTTTAAATTCGCTTACTTCATTAACAAGTTTTGCCATAATTGATGATTTTCCAGTACCTGATTCTCCAAGTAAAATACAAGGTGAATTTGTTGTTGATGTAATATAAGTTTTAATCTTTAAATAAATATTTAGTAATGAATTTCATAAGTTTTCATTCATTAGTATATATTTTACTTGTTGAAAAATATCTGGTCGAGGAAAAAATCGTTGTACTAATAGATTACATTGAATAGCATGTTCTAATATTTGATTATATAATTGATTTTCTTGTTTATTTTCAAATATTTTCATATGAAAATCAATTTGTGTTTTGATTGCGTCATAAAAATCATTAAAAAATTGAGACAAATATTTTGTTCGATCATGTTCATCTTTCCATCGTAACTATTTTATGAAAATCAAAAATTTTAATTTATCGAAAAAAATAATTTCGTTTACTCGATATGTATAAATATCTGATGAATGAATTGTTTGATTAAGTAAATGTTTAATATCATCTAATAATTTTTGTGATTCGCTTTCATTTTCTGTATCATGAAATTTTGAATCAAGTTCATCAATATCAATTAGATCTCGAAAAAAACAAATTATTCGTCGAGATTGATTTATATTATTTTTTAATGCACGATAAATTTCTTGTGCTGTTACTGAAAAAAAAACTTATAATTATTTTATCTAAAACTTATTTTATTTTTATTTACCTGATATATAAAATTCATTATGTTCATCTTTAGTTATTAATTTTTGTTCATAACAAATATCAGCTGCTTTTCGTAAAATCAGTTGTAATTTTTTATCGGATTCAATCCATTGTTGACTATCATCAATTGGTCGAAGAAAATATTTTTTATCAAGATAATTTTCATCTAGCTGATACATTTGAGAAAGAAATATTTTTTCTTCATTATTTAATGAATGACATTTTTCAAATAATTGAAATATATGTGAAGATATACATGCTGGAGCAAAACGACTACCATATCGATGACTTAACAGAATCTTTTCGAATACGAAAAAAATGTCAAAAGAAATAAAAGAAATTGTAATATATCTTACAACACAATTAGTAGCCATAGATAGTTGACAACAAGTATCAAGTTCTTTTAGACACAAATCAACTGTTCCATGAGTATTTGCTGCAGTTGTTTGAATACCCCAACGCATATCAGAATACTAAATGAAAATAATTATAAAAAGACTGATTCTTTTCAATGAATTACTTGAAATTGAATGTTATATTTCGTAAGACAATACTCGCGCAATCGTGGATATACACGATCAATAAGTCCATTTCGTTCATCGGTTGTATCTAATAATGTAGAGCAATATTTATTGTTCTTACTATTAAACTCTCTGTTTCTTAGCAACTCACCAGTAAATGTTGAACTAACAAATAATCGTACAGAATTTAATTTACGATCTCCAACATGATCAAATCGACCTCGATATAACTGTTCGTCTTCCATTTATCTAGCAAAAAAAAACACGATTATAAAACTGCTCGCTATCCTTATTAACATAAGCACTGAATATGAGATGACAAAAGTCATCATATTCCTTTCTTTATTTTCTTTTTCTGTGCCGAGTCAAACATGTGGTTCTCTCTCCGTTCTTTTTCTTTTTGAATTATGAGTAGACGTGTCACACAGCGTAGGTAAAGAGAAATATCGTGTACGAAACAAATATATTGTTATGGAAACATCTTATAAAAATAATTCATCATTTATTTATCTAGTAAACAGAAAAAAAATCTTTAACTTACTTTTCTAGGTATTCATTGACATTTTTAAGTAGATTAAGAAAATAACAACAAAAAAAATTCTTTATTTAGAATATCCATATTTCATTGAGTATTGAAATAGTTGTGAAAGAAAAATAATAAATTTTCGAATATAATTATTCAAATTATCAATTGTTCTATATAAGATTGTAATTCTCATATGACAAATTCCATTACTATCATAGTTTTGACAGTGATACAATACAAACTGGAACGAATTTAATAGATTACATTTTCGAAAAAAAATTTTATTAAAAAAACAAATATTTAACAATCAGTTTCTTTTATACATTCACTATTTTCATCATTTTTTCGTACATGACCATCAATACAAAAACAACCTATGGTACATATATAGGTACATTCCGTCGGTAATTTATTTCTATCTGCACATGTTCGTTGACATCGTGTACCACATGTATTGTATATTTCATCAGTACTACATGTAATATCGTTAACATCTAATCAATTAGAGAAAGATTTTTTTAAAAATCGAAACAAAAATTAACTTACATCGACTGCGAACAATAACCAATATTGTAAAAATAGAAAAAATTAAAATTGTATATCTGCAGGTCATATTTTATTATGAGAAAAAGAAATAAGATTGTAATTTTGTACGTTAATTTACATATAAGATAAGCAGGTTGTCGCGGATTTTTTTTTGTGAATACAAAAAATGTAAAATAACTTAATCTATAGATGAATTTTTATGTATTCGTCTTTTTCTTTGTCGTGAAAACAAACGTTTTTTTTTCTTCTACTGAATTTAAACAACCAACAATAATAACTACTACTCATGAATCGTCTGTTGTTTTAACTACAACTTTTCATAAACATACGTCATTATTAAGACGTTACATTTAATCAAGTTAGTACACATTAATTGAGATAAAATTATTCTTATTGATATAAAATCGCTGAAAAAAACTAAATCATTCTTATCAAATTTTCGTCATCATTTCACTCCGTTCAATTATTGAAGGTCACATGATGAACTAAATATATGATATAGTATTACTTCCCACCTAAACTAATCAAACAAAAATTTTACGGACACCCTAGAATGTTTCATCCGATGCAAAAAGAATTTTAGTCTGTTCGAATCATATACTAATGTGAGATTTTATGCGTGTTTCACTTAATTGAATTATGTCATAGAATTTTATCAGATAAAAATAATAATTGATATTATTATTAACAAGTTCATTGTTGAAAAATTGAGTTATGATATTCTTATATTGATAAATGTCAACAATTAGCTTTTGTATATTTCAAGTAGAATAAATCAATTATTCTTTTCATTATATTATGATTAATATCTTTCAAATAAAAACTGGATTTTATCTTTTTCATGAAAAAAAAGAATGAACGATAAAAGTGATTTTATTGAATAATATCTTCGACAATCAATGCGAATTTCCAACATCTGTTATAATCTGTCCTTGATTATTCTAATAGTAAAAAACAAGAATTAACCTTAAAATTCAATATTATCAACTGATAATTCTCGAAAAAATAGACATAACAAATGATAATCATATGTTTTAATTCTCATACAAATGTATTACATGCATAGAACTTATGATTCAACTAGAAAAAAAGAGAGAAAAGTTTTATGACGAATAAATAGGCAGTTCTTTGCTATATTTGTTTCATTGATATTGATAAATCAGACAAATGATGATCATTACTACTATCCTTTGTATATTAATCGGTAGGTTTATTACAACATTAACAAAAATCTTTTTTTTAAATAATTCAATTTTTAAACAATAAAAGTTTTTGCAAATGCTCGATGGACTGAAAATGATTGTGGTAAACGTCCAATAGAACCTTTTCTTGCTAATAATGATACAGTTGTCGGTGGAATTCAAGCCATGCGTGGTGATTGGCCATGGTCTGTAAGTAATCATTATCTTTACAAGTTTTCTTTTACAAAATTCAATAATTTATTTATAATAATAGTGTTCTATGCGTTATAATGGACGTCATATCTGTGGCGGATCTCTTATAAATACCAATTGGATCGTTTCTGCTGCACACTGTGTGTAAGTACAACATATGAAATATATATTTAAATCATTGCGTATTGTCATTGATAATATTATAGTACGTCGACCTTACCAACTGCTTATATTTGGTATTGTGGTGGTCATGAGTTACAAGTTAATGTAAGAAAAACATAATTTACGTGAAGATATATGTATGATAAAAGTAAATTTATAGGAAACATATACACAAGTAGTTCATACAAAAAGAGTTATTCCACATTCAGCATATGATAGTCAATTGATTCGAAATGATATAGCACTTTTTGAACTTATTGTGAGTTATTTTGTTATTTAATCAATGTTATAACGAAAATGAATTTTTTTTAGAGTCCAGTCATACTTACTGATTATGTTCTACCTGTTTGCTATCCTTCTATAAATGATACCTATGAACATGAAATATCTATGGCTACAGGTTGGGGAACACCGGTTGTAGGTGGTAATCTGTCGAATGTTCATATGGAAGTTGAAATGCCAGTTTTAACTGATACGGCGTGCAAAGATAAATATAGACAATTTGGTAATATGCTAGATATTACAACCCAAATCTGTGCTGGTAGAAAGGAAGAAGGCAAAGATACTTGTCAAGGTGATTCAGGTGGCCCATTAATTGTTAGACATACTGATAACGATTGGTATTTAATTGGTTTAACATCATGGGTAAATACTTTTTGTTTACGATACAAATAAGATTTATCTATTTAATATAGGGTCTTGGTTGTGGTGAAGGTGGTGTTTATACTCGTACTTCAGCCTATCGTGATTGGGTTTTATCATATACTGGTTCACTACCGAACAGTCCGGTTTAAGAACTTTTTTAATTGAATAAATAATTATATATAGATATATTATTGAAAAGAGACTATTTCTAAATAATTTATGTAGAAAATAAATATCTTTAAAAACTCATACTACGAATAGATTATTGTGAATCTTAAACGAGCATATATCGTACATTTTAGTCTACATCTCACAAATTTCTGTATTGGTTTGATTTATTAAAACTGATAAGTTGTGTTATATGTAGGAGGATACCATACAATCAGTTAGACGAGATAGTCATCGATGTTGATATATTTGATCATGGATTCGTTAGATTCATCAACGTGATCAGATACAAGACTCGAATATCCTGAAATTATGTCAATTGTTTGACGCATTAATATTTCGTACTGTCTCTCAGTAAATAAATATGAAGAGTCATTTGTTTTTCATACAGAAAAATGACTCCTATATCTTAATACAAATCACATTATGGACAGTACTATAGTCAAAAATATAGACTTATACTTGTTAATCATATGAAAAGAACAAAATACTTGAATATGAAACATTTTGCAGAAGATATTGGATATTCATAATTCATAGGATCGACAAAATTATTTTTTCATGATGATCCCCTAGAGTACATCAAATTACACAAGAAAAAGAAAAGTTAAAATCTACTGAAACTTCAATTTAATTACCATGCATATTCATTAAATATCTCGTCTCTCGAAGGTCATATCAACGATCTTTCTTAAACTCTAATGAAATCCGTATCTGTAAAAAAGAATCTAGTTTTTCATAATTCGAATAGCAAATAGAAAAATGTTTCAAAAAAAGAGAAGCATTTATATTATTAGTAAGCAGCATACTCAAACATCGTTAGATTACAATAAGTAGTTCTTCGAAGTAATGTGTCAATGTTTAATGGAAGATATCAGAACTAAGACATTTATCTTTACTAAACTCGAACTCAATGATAATCAGTTCTTTTCATTTGTTAGTCTAATGTAAAATATTTTAATTTAACTAAAAACGTGTTCGATCTTCACACGTGTCAGAACAAAAGGATTTTATTATTAGTCAAAAAATATCAGATAACTATCTTATATCTCTAAAAGAGTTTACTATCATTCCTACCCAATGTTATTAAATTCTACTAGAGCAGCTATTGAAAAAACTTATTATTCTTGTATCATTCGATACAAAAATAATATTTTGTATATAATTAATCTAAGACTGAAAGAGAAAAACACAATCATTATTTTCTTCCCATTCTTATGAGAGTAAAAAAGAATAAATTTTTTTTTGTCTTTACCATAAAATCAAAGATCAAGGTCTCATTCTGTTATTTGTTTTTTTAGTAAATATGATAATATCAAATTAAAAATGCATTGATGTGTAACAACGAAAACAGTAATTTTGTCTCTAATTAATTATAAACAAGTTTTCATTTTTTTTTGTTTCAGATTCACACAACAAAACTTTTTTTTTCGATATTCATTGAAAATAAAATCTTCTGTACATGAATTCATTTGTTTTTGTTTTTGAATCATCCGTCTAGCTGCTTTCTCTGAAATAATTCACTGCTGCCGATCATGTTCATCATAATAATCATGAGAAAAAAAGAAATAGAAGAAAAAAAAAGTAAAGAAGAGGAAGCCGACGGCATTTACACTTTCGATCAGGATAGACAAAAGAAAGAAAGAAAGAAAGAAAGAAACGAAGAACAAGAACGAGTACAAATAATGAGTGATAGAAAAAAAAGAACGAAAGAAAGAAAGAAAGAAAGATAAACGACACGACGTGCAGTTGCGTGTGCATGTGTGATTTATTCTACATTTCTAATCATTGTTATTCGTTTTTGGCAGGTCTAAAAGCAGAAGAAAAAAAAATTCAATAAATATATGTATGGATACAATATTAAATCAATGATTCATCGACCATCACCATTAAAATTCTAGCAATAAAAGACAGAAGCATAAAAGCGTATTTTTTTGGCAGTTAGTTGAGAATGATATTGCATGGCTGTTTCTCTCTACTTTTTCCTATCAGTCGGGTCCACTTGATGAATGTGTAGCTGGTGCTAAGTGCTCGTCTTGATCAATTCCATCTTCGGTTTTTCCTCCTCCTTTACCTGACGTTGGTCCGTTATTGCCGGTAATCATAGCGTTCGTCGTAGCCATTTGCGTAGTTGATGATGCTTGTGGTGCTACCGTAGTACCGGCAATTGTTGCCGTAGTTATACCACCTGTAGCAGTTGCTGCTGTTGTTGTTGATGATGATGATGCTGCATTGGCTGCCTTTTGTTTGAGCATAGTCCAATCAAATGTATAATCATATTGATGATTTAATGTACGAAACAAAATGCGAAACAATTGACGTAAATACATATAATCAGGTGCTTCTTCAAAACGAAGACCTCGACAATAATTTAAATACATAGCAAATTCAGCTGGAAATCCCTTTGAAAGAAAAAAAAAAGTTCGAATAGAATAAGAATTCGATTTTAATTCTATTTATTATATACTTTGCAAAGTATTTCAACAGGTGTTGACATTTTTTTTTCAGATATTTTCTCATATTTTTGTTTTTTAGTTGCAGCTTTAAGACCTTGCCATGGTAATGAACCACGATTAAAATACATCAAAACATAACCTAATGATTCCATATCATCACGACGACTAGAAAAAGAAAAAAAAAGTTAAATTTAATTGAATATAAATAATCATTTAATTTAATCAAACCTTTGTTCAATACCAAGATGTGCATTAATAGAGGCATAACGAGCTGTGCCTGTTAAATTTTTATCCTCTCGATAGGGAATGTGTTGTCGAGTTCGATTGTCACGATATTTTTTTGCTAATCCAAAGTCAATCAAAAATACCTTTAAAAAACAAAAGGAATACTTCTATATTCAAACATAGAAAAGTTTAAATTATTTAACCTTATTACAATGTCGTCCAATGCCCATTAGAAAATTATCCGGTTTAATACTAATTAATTAAATAAATGATAATGATATAAATAATTTCAAGAAAAAAATTTACTCTCGATGAATAAAATTTTTGTTATGCACAAATTCAATACGACCGATCATCTAAATCATAATAAATATATTCTTATTTATTCTTAATAAAATCTTACTTGATCAGCAAGCATAAGAACAGTTTTCATAGTAAATCGTCGTGAACAAAAATTAAAGAGATCCTCAAGTGATGGTCCAAGTAAATCCATAACAAGAACATTATAATCTTTTTCTTGGGCATAATATCGAATATGTGGAATACCAATTCCACCTTGTAAAATTTTATATAATTTTGATTCATATAATAATTGAGGATGACGTGCTTTAACTGATTCTAGTTTAATAGCAACTTCTTCACCATTTGTTATATTTATACCCAAATAAATATCACCAAATGAACCTGAACCAATCTTACGTACTAAACGATATTTTCCTCCAATTAAAAATTCATTTTTAGCTGACAGATGTAAAGATGAGCCTGTTCCTGGTGCAGTGACATCCATCGTTGAAGATATTAATTTTTATCTACTTCGTACGATGGAAATGGAAAAGAAAAGGAGAGAAAAAGGATCTAAAAAAATGTAAAAAAAATATAGTTTTGTTAAATAAAATGACCATGAAAGAGTTCGATATACAAAACACATATACATCATACATACATACATACATACATAGCTTTCATCTGATGATGTTAGCCATGTCTCCGGTCGATGTCCTTCGATCAGAATAGAATGAGAAAATGAATTATTTATTCATGCATTTATGCAGTGAGACCAATATTTACAATAAACAGAGACATCTATACTAGTGATTAGAAAATATATATTTAAAATTTCAAAAGAATGAATGTTATCATTGTGACTCAGCTTGATGATTTCATTATGATTAATTGTATTCGATGAAGTAATTTCAAATATTTCATAAGCAAAACAAATCGATTGGATAAAGAGAAAATTATTATTTGGACTTTTGACAAGCTATTAATAAACTATACACATTTATAACTGTCAAGTATCATCGATAGACTTCAAGTTCTTTGTTGTTCAATATCCAATTCTTAATGAATTTTTTCTTCTATTTCATATTTTAAGAGCATAATACATCTGAATAATGATTATAAATAAAAGAATAAAATAAGAATGACGTGTTATATATCTATGTATATGTAACATCAAAAGGATTAGACTGGGCGTTTCATATGAAATTTACTCTTTTTTTGTAAAAAATTACACTCTATTTTTTTGTTTTCGAATATATAACTAAAATGTGTCATGTGAATGAAAATAGGACGAACATTATATTTAATCCTATTGTTTTTTCAAAAAGCACTATATAATATAACAAAAATATACCGTATAAAAGATGAATCAGTGTTGATTAGGGGTAGGACAGTTCTATATTAGTTCCATTCTTGGGAACTGTTTAATAGTTCTTTTAACAGGAGCTTGTCTGTTTTAAATCTAGTTTTATTTACGAAAAATTAGTTTTCAGACAGTTCAGTTCCTTTTAAAAGAACTATGTTGGCAGTTCTTTTGACCAGTTCATCTGAACTTGAAACTGTAAACTGTCATACCCCTAATGTTGATTAGAATTTGAATATAAACATTAATCAACTGTTGACGATAGACTAAGATTTACAAGAAATGAATGTTTAGATCTTCACTTTTATACTGTCATTAATGACAAGACAATATGAAGAATAGTACTCAAGTTGATTAGTTTCGTATATAGAATGCGGATAACATAGAAATTATTTTTAAGTACGCTTAATTTATAGCGTAGGAATTTTTATTTGATTCTATAGTATTAGAATATATTTACAGAATGAATTTTATTCGCTTATACATATACTAATATAAAAAATTAATATATTCACATAATTTATTTCTAAGATACAGAAAAAAAGTTTTTAACAAAACAGTCATACAGATTCTTTAAATAATAATTTTATCGCAATACATCACAATCTATTTGCTATTTGTCTAATAAATCGTATGGCATATGCTAGATCGCTTT